TGTCATTTACATTAAATAATATCCTAATGCCATTCCTCTCCACTGTCTCTCCACAAATAGGCCAGTGTGTGATGTTCTCCCCTTCCTGTGTCCAAGTGATTCTATTGTTCAGTGTCCACCTATGATGAGAAACATGTGGTGCTTTGGTTTTCTGTTCTTGTGATAGTTGGCTGAGAATGATGGTTTCCAGCTGCATCCATGTCCCTACAAAGGACACAAACTCATCCTTTTTTATGGCTGCATAGTATCCTATGTGTATACTGATGCCACTATTTTCTAATCGAGTCTGTCAGCTGATGGAACATTTGGGTTGATTCGCAAGATCCTTTGCCTTGTGAGATAGTGCATGTAATCAATACATATGTTGCGCATGTGTCTTTATAGCAGGCATGAATTTAAATCCCTTTGGGTATATACCCAGTAATGGATGGGCTGGGTCAAATGGTATATGTCTAGTTCTAGATCCTTGGAGAATCGCCATACTGTGTTTCGTCCCACCCAATGGTGAACTAGTTACAGTCCCCAACAGTGGTAACAAGTGTTCGCTATTTCTGCCCACATCGCTCTCCAGCGCAGCCTGTTGTTTCCGTGATTTTTAAATGATTGCCATTCTAAAGCTGGTGAAGAGATAGGTATCCATTGGTGATTCTTGAGTTTGCGATTTCTCGTGATGGCCGAGTGATGATCGAAGCTAGTTTTTCATGTGTCCTGTATGATTATGCCAATGTCTTCTTTTGAAGAGTTGTTGTTCATATCCTTTGGCCCACTTTTGATGGGAAAGTTTGTTTGCCTTTTTCCGTCGTAAATGTTGTTTGAGTTCTTTGTATCTCTTCAACCAACAACAACGGAGTATATATTTAGGATAGTTAGCTCTTCCTGATGAATTGATCCCTTTACGATTATGTAATGACCATCTTTGTCTCTTTTGATCTTTGATGGTTTAAAGTCTGTTTTATCAGAGACTAGGATTGCAACCACTGCTTTTTTCCGTTTTCCATTTGCTTGGTAGATCTTCCTCCATCCCTTTATTTTGAGCCTATGTGTATCTCTGCTTGTGAGATGGATCTCCTGAATACAGCAAACTGATGGGTCTTGACTCTTTATCCAATTTGCCAGTCTGTGTCTTTTAATTGGAGCATTTAGTCCATTTACATTTAAGGTTACTATTGTTATGTGTGAACTTGATCCTGCCATTATGATATTAGCTGGTTATTTTGCTCGTTAGTTGATGCAGTTTCTTCCTAGCCTCAATGGTCTTTACATTTTGGCATATTTTTGCAATGGCTGGTACCGGTTGTTCCTTTCCATGTTTAGTGCTTCCTTCAGGATCTTTTGTAGGGGAGGTCTGGTGGTGACAAAATCTCTAAGCATTTGCTTGTCTGTAAAGGATTTTATTTCTCCATCACTTATGAAACTTAGTTTGGCTGGATATGAAATTCTGGGTTGAAAATTCTTTTCTTTAAGAATGTTGAATATTGGCCCCCACTCTCTTCTGGCTTGTAGAGTTTCTGCCGAGAGATCCGCTGTTAGTCTGATGGGCTTCCCTTTGTGGGTTACCCGACCTTTCTCTCTGGCTGCCCTAAACATTTTTTTCCTTCATTTCAACTTTGGTGAATCTGACAATTATGTGTCTTGGAGTTGCTCTTCTTGAGGAGTATCTTTATGGCGTTCTCTGTATTTCTTGAATTTGAATGTTGGCCTGCCTTACTAGGTTGGGGAAGTTCTCCTGGATGATATCCTGCAGAGTGTTTTCCAAGTTGGTTGCATTTTCCCCGTCACTTTCAGGCACACCAGTCAGATGTAGATTTGGTCTTTTCACATAATACCATATTTCTTGGAGGCTTTCTTCGTTTCTTTTCACTCTTTTTTCTCTACATTTCTCTTCTCACTTCATTTCATTCATTTGATCTTCAATCCCTGATAATCTTTCTTCCAGTTAATGGAGTCGGTTACTGAAGCTTATGCATTTGTCACGTAGTTCTCGTGTCATGGTTTTCCTCTCTTATCAGTTCTTTTAAGGTCTTCTCTGCATTGATTATTCTAGTTATCCATTCATCCATTCTTTTTTCAGAGTTTTTAGTTTCTTTGCGCTGGTTACGTAGTTCCTCCTTTAGCTCTGGGAAGTTTGATCCCTGGGATATAATCTCCTGGTGTACCGTTTGCTAAGACCCTTGGTAAAGCGCAGTATTAGGGTGGGAGTTACCCGATTTTCCAGGTGGTGTGTGTCTCAGTTTCCCTTGGCTAGGAAAAGGAATTCTCTTCCCCCTTTCGCTTCCCAGATGAGGCGATGCCTCGCCCTGCTTCAGCTCTCGCTGGTCGGGCTGCACCCGCGGACCAGCATCAACTGTCTGACACACCCCAGTGAGATGAACTTGGTACCTCAGTTGAAAATGCAGAAATCACCCTTCTTCTGTGTCGCTCATGCCGGGAGCTGGAGGCTGGAGCTGTTCCTATTCGGTCATCTTGGGTGCCACACCCATTTATTGTTTAATTAATTTTGTTTCTTTGTTTTGAAGATGATGGGACAACACCTGAGAGGATAGCACAAATAACAGGACCTCCAGACCGATGTCAACATGCTGCAGAAATTATTACAGACCTTCTTCGAAGTGTTCAGGTTTGATAGAAAGTTAACATTTTCATTTTTTGTTTTTATGGAAAAGTATTTTCCTTCATGAAATCTGAAGTTTCCTCTATATCAGAGTCTGCTTGATGATGCTTTATTAATGGAGAAAGTTTAAATTGTTTTAAGGTAAAGATCTTGGAGCAGGAAGAACTACTACCTTAAGTGCTACCTTATTTACTCTTGAATTTAAAAAAATGTTATTACTTATGATTATTTGGGCCAGTTCATCTCTACATTTATGGTTCAGGTATTTGAGAGCTGGGAAAAATAGACATAATAATTTTATCATGAAAAAAAGTATTTCTGTGCTGATTTTTTTCCTTCTTGTCTATTCCTCTCTATAGGCTGGTAATCCTGGTGGACCTGGACCTGGTGGTCGAGGAAGAGGTAGAGGTCAAGGCAACTGGAACATGGGACCACCTGGTGGACTACAGGAATTTAATTTTATTGTGCCAACTGGGAAAACTGGATTAATAATAGGAAAAGGCAATGTATTTTAAACTCTTAATGTTTAACACATTATTCGTTTTTCTGGACACTATTTCTGTTGCTATTTTAAGCAAGTGGCAATGCTCTTTCTCTGGCTGTGTTTTAGTAGAAAAGCATTCTTATGTTAATACGTAACAAGTAAAACATAAATGAAGGATCTAATATATATTTATAAAAAGAGCAGGATTTTAATCTTACTAGCTTCTAGAGAAAGTGAACTAAGATAATTATTAGCATAAGAAAGGTCTTTTGACCCAAAAAGTTGTTTGAGTGTTTTTGTTTGTGCATTTTGGTTTTTCCCGACTCATATTTTAAAAATTTGAATGTTTATAAGTGTATTAGTTTATATTTACACTGCTTTTAAAAGCAGTTTATTCAAATATTTTATTATAATCACATTAAGGTTAAGTTTAAACATACTAAGTAAATGTAAATGTATTTTAAGAGAAGCATGAAATGCTTCCTAAAATTTGATTTAAAGTGTAGAATATTAAATGAAAAATCTTAATACAATACTGTCAAGTAGAATACTGACTAACCAAACCATGTTTTTAATGGCCCATTTAATTGTGACCATTTTCTTCTAAATAGCTTCTAGTATACCCTTGAAACCTTTAGAGAAATTACTGTCTTTTATTTTAGGAGGTGAAACCATAAAAAGCATAAGCCAACAGTCTGGTGCAAGAATAGAGCTTCAGAGAAATCCTCCACCAAATGCAGATCCTAATATGAAGTTATTTACAATTCGTGGCACTCCACAACAGATAGATTATGCTCGGCAACTCATAGAAGAAAAGATTGGTGTGAGTATACTTTAAACTTTTAATTTATAGTGTAGACCCTTAGATTGTAGTTAAATTAAGACGTTTATTCGAATACATCAAAGGAAAACATATAATTACTAGTCTGTATTTATAGATTTCATGATACCTGTAATAGATACAATGTGAAGATTTTCCAGCAATGAAAATAACCTAATTAAATGTGCAGTTACAGGTTTTGAGAACAACCTTATGTTTGAGTGTGGATAGATAGGAGGGTGCAGGCATCATATTAGTGTTATTGTAGGATTGTGGAACATACTTGAAGGACATAGTTAATGGGAATTCATTATTTATTAAGATTTTACTATACTGAACCCCAGCAAGGCAAACAAGATAAATCAGATGCATCTTCCGCTCTGCAGTAGAAATTCGTAAATCCTAGCTTTTGGACTGGCTCACAAATCATCGGGGGGTTTTAAAATGTAGACTATTTGGGTGCTTCCAACTCCTACACATAATATACAGAGACAGACCTGACTCAAAATGTCTGGGATAGGGCCCAGCATCTGATTTTACACAGATGTTTGGGTTTTTTTCTCCAGAAAAGTTTTCTGTTAGAACAAAAAGTATAAAAAGCTTTGACTGCTTTTTTGTAAATGAGGCAGATGGTGTCTTACTGGAGTTTTTAACACAAAGTGTGCAGGGAGCATCTTAAATTATTAATCAGAATTTCCTAGGAAAAATTAGTTTTGGTGTTTGCCATGCTATGAATGGAGTGCATGCAAAACAAGGTTGACGCTATTTCTGTGTACTTGGGAAGACAAAAATAGATGTACTAAAGATGCTTAAGGAACATCTTATAAAATGTACACAAACATTGTAAGTTCTGTTGTATGGATAGTTTAATTGTTCAAAAAATGAAGATGTTTGTGGAGTAATGATAGGAGGTTGATGCCATAGCAAAAAAAAAGAATAGCACATCTTGGTTTTTGATTTTACAGTATTAGCCTCACATGCATGGATCAGGATTTCTGTTGGATTCATGGTAAAACAAGATAGATTGTTTTAGAGAAGCAATTTGGTGTGGTGATTAAGAGCACGGACTCTTTTCTCTGAATCATTTACTGGGTCTGTGACCTTGGAGAAGTTGCTCAGGCTTTTCTGTGCCTTGGTTTCCTCCTATAAAATGAGGATAATTGTATCTATTTCATAGAGTTTTAGGGATTAAATGAACGTTCACGTGTGTGTCACTTAAAAGAATGCCTGGCACATAGCCCTAAAAAATGTTGCTACTTTTTCAGTATTATTTTTACTATTTGGAAAGAATAGATAATGGATAATAAGTGAGAGATGACAGCAATTGGAGACTTAAAGAGACAAGTTAATAAAAAGAACTTTAAAGGTCATGAAGTTCAGTTTCCCTATTTTGCAGTGAGAAATTTACAACAAAATATAGTGTTACCATTTTGTCCAGCATGTCGCCTGGTTGTGTTAACTACTCAGAAGGAGCATTTTAGGACAGTTAAGTGTAATGTCTTTGTTGGCTTAACAAAACAGAAATCAGTTAAGCATTATTAATTATGATATGGCATGCATGCATGATAAGGATATAAAATATCCTGATTTATTGAAGGACTTAAAAAGGGAATGTTTGTGCTGTTTAGAATTATGATACATGAAAGGCCAAAAAGGATATAAATTATTGATCTGAATGCGGTTTCAGTGACAGAAATAGGTTGTGAGGTGGAGTTTGGTTTAATAGTGAACCAACTAGCTGTTAACATTATCAGTGAAGTGTTCAGAAGACAATTGATGATATAGGACCCAAGCAGTTTGGGAATATATTGTCAAGATGGTTGTCTTATGTTAGGCAAGTAGATGTAGAGAGAAGAGCTGAAGATAAAGACCTGATTTCTGTGATTAAGATGAAAAAAGATAGTAAAAGAAAGAATTATAAAAGGAAAGGGATGTACTGCTGTCGCAGACAAGCTAAAGAAAATTTAATTGCTAATTTTAATTTAATTTAAATTGCATTTAATTGCTACCGCTATTGATTTTAGTAAATTTCACATGTCTCATTATTATGGCAGATAAAATAGTTTTTGCAAAATGAATGAGGAAAGGAAGGAAAACCTAAAATTTGTTGTTTGTGACTATAAGAGGGCAGAAATGGAAGATTATTTGTCCATAGAGTTGGTTAACCATTACTGTGTTTTTTCTGATTTTTCTATGTCTTCCTTTTTTTTTTGTAGGGCCCAGTAAATCCTTTAGGGCCACCTGTACCCCATGGGCCCCATGGCGTCCCAGGCCCCCATGGACCTCCTGGGCCTCCAGGGCCTGGAACTCCAATGGGACCATACAACCCTGCACCTTATAATCCTGGACCACCAGGCCCAGCTCCTCAGTAAGTATTGGGTTTCGTTCTGGGCTTTCCCCCAAAGATTCTAGTTTTTGGACTACATTTTTATACTGAATTTTCTTCTCAGTGGTCCTCCAGCCCCATATGCTCCCCAGGGATGGGGAAATGCATATCCACACTGGCAGCAGCAGGCTCCTCCTGATCCAGGTAAAAAGATGCTTATCATTTGTGTGTTAGCTGTATTGTTTTTCACTCGTGTTACATTATTAAATTTTCTAGTGTTGATTCTACATTTGTATGCCTCACCTTCACTCACTCTACTCTTTCAACAGCGTTAGGCACTGCCTCTACCCCAGTGTATATAGAACTGACATGAATATGATCTCTGCTTTTATGGAATTCCTTTCAGCTTGCATTTGGCTTTCTTATGAGTCGATATAGCAGAATGATAAAAGCTAAAAGCTGCAGGAAAGAGCACAGTGTCATAGGTTTTGGATACCAGTGCTATCAAATATGTAGTGTGTTAACTGTGACATTATCTATGAAAAAATAGTTTTTACTTATTTAGAAAATTATGGGATGGGGCCGGGCACTGAGGCTCACGTCTGTAATCCCACCTGTTCAGAAGTCGAGGCTGAGGCTTGAGACCAGCCTAGGCAACATGGCAAGACCCATCTCTAAAAAAATTTGTTTTAAATTAGCCAGCCAGGGTGGTATGTGTCTGTATTTCTAGCTGCTCAGAAGGCTGAGGGGGGGCGGGGGGATTGCTTGAGGCTAGAAGTTCTAGATTGTATTGAGCTGTGGGCGCACCACTGCACTCCCCTGGGCAACAGAATGGGACCCCATCTCTTAAAAATATATATATATGTATGTATAAAACAGTCTTACAGAGTGTTAAGTATTTGGGCATTAAACTCCCAAACTGTCAAATAAGATACCGGTTCTAGTACTCCTCATAATGACAACTTCATGTGAGTAAAAATCAGGCCTGTATTTAATAACTGCATGCTAAAACCCAAATACATTTAATTATTTTCTATATTCAGATCTGGATTTTCGATATGTATATATTATATCCTGTACTATTCTGGCGTCTTTCCATACCCTGTAGTTTGCTTTCCATCTTGGTCAAAGAGTCATTCTTTGAAACCAGTTAACATTTATTTATGATCCTTTTTTTTCACCTGCTACCTACCTTTTAGGCCTCTTTCACCAGAGTAGTTTCAAGGAAAATATACTCAATTATGGATTACTTTCTACACATAATATATTTATCCCAAAAAAACTTGAAGTAATTTATGTAAATGAAATTGCTTGGTTAATTTCATAGGAAGTGTGCTGTTTGGAGTATGATGATACAGCATGATAGTTACCAAATAATCACAACTTCCATTAATTCAAGGAATGACTTGAGTTGTGCTAGGATATAGGTATGCAAAGTTGGGGTTGTGTTCTATAGCAAAAGAATGCACTTCCAGCATACCAACACTGATAGAAGGGCTCACAGGGTACAGAATATAATACTGTAAACACGAATTTTTGGAGAATGAAAGGGCTTTGCTTTTCCTCTTGTTGGCTATTTGGGATGGTATAATTAAGTAATGAGATTGAAGAGTTTGAGTAGGTTAAGAGACAGATTCATACTGGGTAACTTGGATCTGCCAGGATTGTATTTTTGAGCACTACTGGGTGGTTAGCATGATTGAGAAAAAATGATGGGAATAAGAAGTGGAAGTGGTCTTTGTATCACATGTTGAGTTTCCCACTTGGAGTAGTAGTGAAGTCACTACTATAAAAGCTGGTCAGTGAATGTGGTTGCAGCATGGCCTTTGGGCAAGAAGTAACCCATTTAAAACCAGCTGGTTGGCCCCACTCAGATTTATCAAAGGGTTACTGGGTCTCTGGGGTGGATATTGCTTATATTAGACTTAGAATGACGTAACGTTTTAATGTATGAACTAAAATATTTCTTTAAAAAAAGAGTGGTCTGTTATGGATTTATGTAGTGGTCAAGAATTTAGACTTCAGAGTCAAATAGACCTAGATCAGTCCTAGTCCTACAGTTTACTAATGGTGAGATGTCAGGCAAGTTTTTGAACTCCTCTAAGCCTGTTTTCTTATCTATAAATTGATCAATGAATGAGTCTTGGGTTGAGTGAATATTTAGTAAATTCTTAGTACATACTAGTTATTTGTGAGACTGGTACTTCAGTATGGTTTACACGTTTGGGTGTAGAAATAACACTTCCTAAAGTCTGTTTTATCTCCAATTCTCTGTCCAGGCATAGTGTAAAGTGAAATACCTAGATTTCTTGATTAATATACAGATAATAGCCGGACGCCATGGCTAACACCTGTAATTCTAGTACTTTGGGAGGCTGAGGTGGGTGGTTCACTTGAGGTGAGGAGTTGGAGACCAGCCTAGCCAACATGGCGAAAACCTGTCTCTACTAAAAATACAAAAATTAGCTGGGTGTGGTGGCGGGTGCCTGTAATGCCAGCTACTTGGGAGGCTAAGACAGGAGAATTGCTTGAGAATCGCTCCACTGCATTCCAGCCTGGGCAACAGAGTGAGACTCTTCATCTCAAAAAATAATAATAAATACAGATAATGACACTATTGAGATATGTAAACATCCAGGATACAAAAGCAGTACATTGGGCAATTGAGAAAAGCTTGGAGGGTGTCCTAATAACACCTTACAATTATATTACCTTGTAGTTTTCTTTTTCTAGAAATTCTCACTCCTTTTTCTCAAACTTGACTAACCTTTGTTAAGCAGCTGAGAATTGCTACTGTTCAGAATGAAAGCATAATAGAAAATTTAAAAGTTTTAATTGTATGATATTCCTAGTATAAAGGACAGAATCAAGTTTTTTTGTGGTTTCTAGAAGATTGAGAGGTCTCAAACTGTTTGCACTTCAGTTGATGTGGGAGATGAGTGAGGGTCAGTCAAGTGTAGAGGAAACATAACATAGCTAAAAGCTGAGACATGGGCATAGTGATTTCTGAAAAGTACAAGCACTGTGTTGTGGCTGGAGCTTGGGTGTTAAAGAGATACAAACGAAGGGAGAGGTGAGGCTGAAATGGAAAGGATAAGCCAGGGGATTCAGACTGTTAAAGATGTTGAATGATAGGCTGTACTTAAGCTTTGACCATCCTGAAGATTCTAGAGAATGAAGAATTTCAAGTAGGATGACATCAAGTTTATAACATTCAATGTGAAATAGGATGAAATGTGGCTAATCTTTTTTTAAGATTTTTATATTTTCTCTTCATTGAAAATAAGGACAAAGTTCATTGTTCTAAAATAATTGTTTCTTTCTTATGCAGGTTAGCCCCTAGAAATGTTTTTCTTAAGTCATCTTCCAGATAGAGCTGTTTGTGCTTGAGGCGAAACCAATTTAGAAAAAAACAAGGGCGCAGGATGGTTTGAGACAGAGCATTGGATTTGGAGCCAAAAGACCTTTATTCATATCCCAGTTATGCAACTCAGTAGTTTTTAACCTGGGAAAGTCACTTGGTCTCTGAGCCTTGGTTTTCTTTAATAAAAGCTGATGGTAACAACAAAAATAATAGAAAATATAAAAGTTTTCATGTACTTTTTTTTAATGTTCTAGTTAATTTTGGGAGCTGTATATTTGCCAGAGAGCTGGGGGTGTGTGTGTGTGTGTGTGTGTGCGCGCGCGCGCGCTCGTGTGAGAATTACAGACTTCAACATGCAAACCTTGAACTTTCATTTATTCTAGCTAAGGCAGGAACGGATCCAAATTCAGCAGCTTGGGCTGCTTATTATGCTCACTATTATCAACAGCAAGCACAGCCACCACCAGCAGCCCCTGCAGGTGCACCAACTACAACTCAAACTAATGGACAAGGTAACTAAAGAACTTATATGTGAAAGTCAAAACTTGTGCTTGGAATTATATATGAAGTACATCACTGTATAATACCTAAAATTTCTAACATTATTTAATTATAATTTAAGCAGACTTTTCCTTTTTTAAATTGTTACCTGGAAATAGTTTCAAACTTTCATAAAAGTTATAAGAATACCAGGAGCCACCCATATAACCCAGCTGTTAATGTTTTATCCCTTGTTTACTCTAATACCGTCTATATCATACAAGTGTATGGGTGTGTATTTATTTTAAATATTCATTATAATTAGTTCTGAAGGAAACTAATTACATCCAGTATAATTAGTTCTGAAAGAAATCATTTAAGACTAAACTATAGACACAATGTCCTGTTGGGTACTTCTTCAAAAATATATAACCATCATACAGCCCTCCAAATCAGTAAGTCAACATTAATATATTAAGCTCTTTATATCATTATGGATTTCTGATTTTTGCAATGGGTTATATTTTTTGAATATTTTTTAAATTTTGATAATCAGATTATCCTAGATTTGGCCAGTCAGGGAGTATATTCAGGGTAGTGCCTATATCCTTTTGAAATATCTGTCGTTATTTTAAGAACTTCCATACTGTCTGGCACAGTGAGATTGTTATTTTGTGTTTTATGGGCTCCAACCCTTAAGTCAGCTATTTCTTCAAGGAGCTCTGATTCCTTTTAGTAGAGTATGGTAGTTAGAAATGAGACTTGACTATGCTTGTTGCTACTGAGGTGTAATTGCTTCTAACTTCTTTCAGCAGACAGAACTAGGAAATATATTTACATACATGCATACCTACATACACATGCCAAAAAACACATAAACATTGATATGTGTATATATTTTTTAAAACTATGTTCATATTACGACATTCATTTCAGCATTTTGGGGTTTTCAAGCCTTTTCCTTTTCTGTACTTGTTTACAAATGGTGAGAAACCTGGTATCCTCAGTGTATCTCCTTATTTTACATACATTTACTTATATGTTCGACATAACCAGTCTTCCAAACAGGTTGGTTTTCTTTTCTGTCCACCACCTCTGTACCCCCAGTACCTTCTATCTTTGGCACCAGTAGGGATGCCACCACCACATAGTACCTTCCTCCTACCCCTCACTGTCACATTGCAGGCCCCTGCCAGCTCCTGCACCCAAGGAAACAGCTAAAATTGCCTTTTAAAAACTTTAATTCTGTTTTTCTGTTTTGTTTTGTTTTGTTTTGTTTTGTTTTGCTTGATCAAGGAGATCAGCAGAATCCAGCCCCAGCTGGACAGGTTGATTATACCAAGGCTTGGGAAGAGTACTACAAGAAAATGGGTATGTTTTATACATTTCTTGAAAATACATACTTAATTAAATTGAAACACAAGTTATTCTCTTCAGGAAGAGAATAATTGAATAAAATCACTGGACTCGTAAACATACCAAGACAGTTGCAAATTATAGTTTTTAAATTTGTGGTTATATAGCAAGGAAATATTTTTCTTTCTAATTGCATTTGTCAACCAGTTATTAATTGAAACTAGAAATTTCCTCACTGGCACATACAGTATTAACATTACTATACTTTTGACAATGACAGTTATATATATTAGTCTGAATGACATAAGGTTAAATTTTAATGTGTCAGGTGAAAATGGATTGTGTGTGATACCATTATTTTTGCTGCAAGATAAGCAGGTAAGAAGTAATCTGTAGTGAGGGAAAGTAACTAAGTGATGGAACCAGAATCTGGCTTCCAAGAGGGTCTGAGTCCCAAGCTTGTCTCCCAAATTTGTCTCTTTAGGGACCATTTGGAACCTGGTACTATACTTCTGGACAAACCACTATGTTTCAACTGCTTTTGCTCTTTAAAAATTATTACATACCACAGCTAGATGTCACAAACGAAAACTAAATTGGTAAGCTTGGTTATCCTTCACTAGCAGAAAAAGAATCTATAGGTGGTAGTTTTGTCATAAGAGATCGGTCTACTTGGGATTCTCAGTGTAAATTTCAATGTTTTCTTTGCCAAAGAATGTTTCTCATTCTCTGCAGAAAGAAAAATTTCCAGAAGGGTGATGATTTTAATCTTCTAGGTGTAAAATTATATATACTTTATGATAAAGATGTTCTGCACAACTGGTTTCTTTTTAAAGAAAGAAAAAAATTGTTTTTCCTCATAGAGTGGCTTCCTAGGAGAGTCATATTCCATCTATTTCTGAGACTATAACAGATTAATATATGTTTTTGTGACGTAGCTTAGGCAGATCTACAGTAGCTAAAATTCCGCAAAAAGAAACTTTTAACTTAAAAACAGCATACTCTGGTTAAGGTTGGTTACATAATATATTTTCTGAACTGGGATCCTTTTTAGAATGAATAGGGATGCTATTAATAATCATGTCCTGCCGGGTGCGGTGGCTCATGCCTGTAATCCCAGCACTTTGGGAGGCCGAGGCGGGCGGATCACAAGGTCAGGAGATCGAGACCATCCTGGCTAACACGGTGAAACCCCTAAAAATACAAAATATTAACCGGGCGCGATGGCGGGCGCCTGTAGTCCCAGCTACTCAGGAGGCTGAGGCAGGAGAATGGCGGGATCCCGGGAGGCGGAGCTTGCAGTGAGCCGAGATCGCGCCATTGCACTCCAGCCTGGGGGACACGGCGAGACTCCGTCTCAAAAAAAAATAATCATGTCCTGACAACATTGTGGTCAGGACCTGTAATCAACTTAACTTCAGTGAAATAGCGTCACCATTTTAAAAGACTTGAGCATGAGCCACATGCAGTAGCACACACTTGTAGTCCCAGCTGCTAGAGAGGCTAAGGTAGAAGGATCCCTTGAACACAGGGGATTGAGGCCAGCCTTGGCATCACAGTGAGACCTGATCACATGTTTGGGTTAAAAATCTTCAACTTCTATTTTCTCAATGGGTAATGTTCCCTAGATATGGTCCCTAGTTATTAAGTTATTAAGTAGGTAAAAATAAAGGCTTGTTAATGGATTTAGCTAATTACTGAGGAATGAGTTTGACTTCTGTGCTTTATTTTACCTTATTGATTATTTGTAGTATGGCCGTTAATACATTTACTGTTTAGTCTTTTATGTTTTACTTTTTTATGTTTTACTCAAAATGAGTGGGTGGGTTGAATTCTGATTTTTATTGTTAAGGGAAGAAATTCTAATTTTCATTGTTAAGGTAAGAAATTGTCTTTATTGTCTTTAATTTTTTTTTTTTTTCACCATTTCCCTGCCAGTTAGAGATACTATGCTATACTGTCTTAAATCCTCTGTAGGAAAACATGGCATAGAAATAATTAAATAATAATACTGCATGACTAAAGAACCTCCTTACCCCACCTTTTCTATCCTTTTTCTGTCGTACCACAATAATCACCTGTTAATTTTATTTATTTATTTGAGAGGGAGTCTCACTCTCGCCTAGGCTGGAGTGCAGTGGCATGATCTCAGCTCACTGCAACCTCCGCCTCCCAGGTTCAAGCAATTCTCCTGCCTCAGCCTCCCAAATAGCTGGGCTTACAGGCGCCCGCTACCACGTCTGGCTAATTTTTTTGTATTTTTAGTAGATACAGGGTTTCATCATGTTGGCCAGGCTGGTCTCAAACTCCTGACTTCAGGTGATCCACCTGCCTCAGCCTGCCAAAGTGTTGGGATTACAGGCGTGACCCAGCCTCACCTGTTAATTTTATGAGCAAAATAGATGAGTTGAAAACAGATGTAGGTTAAGTTTTCCAAAATTAGGTTTGTATTTTAAAACAATTCTAAATTCCCCAGGATTTTTTTTTTTTTTTTTTTTGACATGGAACCTCTGCCTGTCGCCCAGGCTGGAGTGCAGTGGCACAATCTCGGCTCACTGCAGCATCCACCTCTCAGGTTCAAGCAATTCTTCTGCCTCAGCCTCCCAAGTAGAGAAAATCTTGATAAGATTTCAGAGAGTTATAAGGAATGGCAGCAATCTAAAGATGGGTATTTTTAAAGCTAGAATAGAGGGATTTTTTATAAGAGACCCTTAAGAGAACAAGCAGGGTTTCAAAGTAGAAAGGAGTAATTCTTTTTTGGAGAAGTGAAGACATTTGAGAAAAGTTTGACTTAAGGAAGGCCCTTATAATAAAGACTGATGTAGTAGACTCTGAACCCTTAAGAATCTGGTACCTTAAGCCTAAAGGAGGGTAGAGTGAGACTTGTAGGAAAGGTACAAGTATATAGGAAGACAACTGAGTGTGAAAATCTATTCAAGCAAGGCTGACTCTTAGGCTATAATAAAATCTTACAGGCTAACTGTAGAGCAAGTCTTTTATCTTTTGGATGAAAGAAATTTAAGGCTAAACTTTATAGATTATAATTATAAAACTATAATAAATATTAGATAATGTTCTACTGAAGTGTAAACTCAACTGTCTTGAATCAAACAGTAACTAAGCCATGATCACACCACTACCACTGTGTTCCAGCCTAGGTGACAGAGCAAGACCCTGTCTCAAAACAAAATCCAGTAACTAAAGAGAATAAGGGGAGCAAGGTAAGGCAGTACATGTCTGAAAGGGCAAGGAAAGAGTTCTTTAAAGTCTAAAGTGTTTACTATTAGCTTTCCACGGGGATATAGGAGTTTGCAGAGGTTGTAGTTTTTTAAGGGAACATTGATGGAATTTTCTTGATGAATATGCCTGTTTCTACCATCTTACATCTAAAATGAGTAACTCTCACAGTGGGTTTAAAACCTGAAGAATATTGATTGCTACCTTGATCAGGTTTGGTTTCAAGTGTGCAGCTTGTAAGAGAAAACGTGTGGTTTTATTGCTGTTGTTACACCAGAGTATTTGGCAGTTTTTTAAATATTGAAACCTGTTTCAGATTTGCTTGAATTGTGTCTTGTAAGAGGCAAATGTTCCTCTTTGATTAACAGTTCTTTATAGAAGACAGGAAAATATGAGAATTTTTAATAGTCTATGAGAGTTCTCTGTTACCCAAGAAAAGAGGGTTTGTTTCATGCATTTTTAAAGAATCATAAATCTTAAATTCTTTCACTCAGTTGCTTTGATTCTGTCACCTATTTTACAATGGTGATGGACAGGTTTCTGAAACTAGGAAATTGGCCTTGTTGGCAACATCATACAAACATAAAAACAGCTTCCTATACGTCCATGCTCCAGTACTTTTGTCTGTGGTAATTATTTCACAAAGCCAAGTGAGTTACAAACGAAATAAAATAGTGCTTAAGTAAAGCAACTGAATAGGAAAACACATCTCTCTTCTCAATTTTTTATTTAGAAAATTATATACCTTCAGAAATTGGGGAAATTAGGTACCACTCAGCTTCATTCATCATTTTTTTAAAGTTTGCTGTATGTGCTTTATATGTACGTTTTTCTGTATGAACCATTTCAATGTAAGTTGCAGACAAGACAGTTGGCTCCAAAGAAACTCAATGTCTGGGCACAGTGATTCACGCCTGTAATCCCAGGACTTTTGGGAGACCAAGGCAGGTGGATCACTTTAGCCCAGGAGTTAAAGACCAGGCTGGACAATGCGGCAAAACCCCATCTCTGCAAAAAAAGAGAAAAATGTCAGCTAGGCATGGTGGGCTTGTAGTCCCAGCTACTCTAGAGGCAGAGGTGGGAGGATCATCTGAGCCGTGGGAGGTCGAGGCTGCAGCGAGCCATGAATGCACCGCTGCACTCCAGCCTGGGTGGCATAGTGAGACCCTGTCTGAAAATAAATACCCTCAATAGTATCACAAAAATACAGACTATATTTAAATTTCCATAGTTGTCAGGAATATGTCTTTCGTCGTCTGTGTGTTTTGTTAAATTCAGAATGCAAAGATTCGTGCATTGCATTTCATTGTTATATTTCTTTAGTCTCTTAATTCAGCAAAGTCATCTCATTTGGGAAAAGACCTGATCGTGAAAGCTGAGTTATGTGTTTCATTGATCTTGTTCTTTATTCCTTGTCACGTTACTTTTAATACCATTGTGTTGTAATTGGAATCAATTATTGATACTTTTAACATCTTACTACTAATCTGTGTGTGTGTGTGTGTACATGTACATGTACATACACTTTATAGGTTACTAATCAGGAAAAAGTCTTGGCTAGGTCTTAAAATAATAAAATCTTTAAATCATTGCAATTAAGTGGGTTTTTTTGTTTTTAATTCTGGAATCCAATCAAGATTATGCCTAAATCTTTACCTTCCTTAGCTAAAGCAGTGTGGATTTGGGGTTGATTTTGTTTTTTTACTAATAATGACGCTCTAGAACTAAACATTATGATTAATTATAAGGCAAAAAGAAAATAAAGAGCTTTTTTTTTTTAATTTTAGAGTAGTTTCCTGACACTACTAATGAATATTTTAAATAAAACAGGAGTAATTCTGACCCTCTGTGCTTTTGTCTTATGATTGTAATTTAATATTAAAATTTAGGGGGGTTTTTTTAGGTCAACAAGGGCAGACACAAGATTATTCAAAGGCTTGGGAGGAATATTACAAGAAGCAAGGTATTGTTTTTACTGGAAATGAGATGTTGGACTTTTAATTGTGGTTACAGCAACAAAATTCTTTTTTTTTTTTTTTCAAAGGTCAAGCAGTTCCTGCTCCGACTGGGGCTCCTCCAGGTGGTCAACCAGATTATAGTGCAGCCTGGGCTGAGTATTATAGACAACAAGCAGCCTATTATGCCCAGACAAGTCCCCAGGGAATGCCACAGCATCCTCCAGCACCTCAGGTATAATGTAATTGCTAATTTGTTGATTTCTACTCCAGTCTGTTTTCTGCATGTTTACTGTTTGTCTGTTTGGGAGTGTTTGCCTTTTAAATTTTTATCTGGCAAAGTATAACTATTTAAATGAAGTACTACGGTGTATTGTTTGGGTTTTTTTGTTTGTTTTTTATAATGTTTTCCGGCATCTGAGTGCTGAATATTTCTGCAATGCCTTTGATTTTAAAAATAAATTTTCTTCCCCCAGGGATTTGCAAATCATGCAAGAAGCTACCACCATTTATATTAACCAGTTTTTCTTTCTTAAAGGATTCACTCCTGAATTAGCTCCATTTCAAGGATTTTCTTTAACTTTTTGTGTATTTCTTATGTATCTCTTCTGCACAGGGCCAATAATAAGAAGTGGACAATACAGTATTTGCTTCATTGTGTGGGGGAAAAAAACCTTTGTTAAATATATGGATGCAGACGACTTGATGAAGATCTTAATTTTGTTTTTGGTTTAAAATAGTGTTTTTTTTTTTGTTTTTTTTTTTTGTTTTTTTTTTTGCAAATGTACAAAATATCTATCACTACTGATAGGAGGTTAATATTTCTGTGTAGAAATGAAAATTGGTTTGTTTTTAGTATTTAGTGTAGATGTACACATTCCAGCAAATGTATTTGCAATTATGTGGTTGATGCTTTGTGATATAAATGTACTTTTTCAATGTATACTTTCACTTTTAAAATGCCTGTTTTGTGCTTTACAATAAATGATATGAAACCTCCTGTGTCGGTAAGTTGGATATGTGGGTATTTAAAGGATTCATAATTTCTTAGCAATGATAAATTAAGATACATATACACAAATATATAAGCTTTCCCCATGAAATATTGAGTTTTTAAACACTGGCATGTTTTTCCCCCCTTGCAGTATAGTGGTAGATTGGAGGATCTTTTCCATTTATTGTATTTGGCTCTTTCAGCACAAGTAATCCTGGTATCTTCATTTTTTTTCCTTCTGTTTGATTAAAAACTGCATGTGTGTACAATGATCTTCTGGCATACTTCCATTGCATTAACAGTGAAATTTCCTTTTTATACATGACCACTGTTTCAGACCTGTACTGCTGCTATAACAGTTAACCTTTCTGTTCTTAATTTGATAATACTTGATTTCCAAGACTGTTTCGGCATAACTAATTTTAAACAGTTTTCAGATAGTGAATATGAGTAGTCTAATAAGAACAGTTTTTTTTCCATGTAAAGCAACTCTTTCAATGTATATAATAGTATGTTTCTTTCTAAATTTAGGATAGAAAAGTGAATAGTGTGCAAAAAGTATAGCTACATTGCATCTGCCATTGAAACATAAATGGGGTATGGAAACGTTCAAGCTTTTTTTTTTTTCTTTAAGCAGTATAGATAAGCTTTGTTTTGTAAATGCACAAGTCCAATCATTGAATCAACTTAATTTTTTTATGTACTTGAAGTCATTTTATTACTCTTTAACACTCATGCTGAAGTTCTGATATTTTGTTGAAATCCATTGTTTTACTCTTTGCATATTTGTTGGCTCTTTGCATATTAATATATTAGACTACATGCAAATACAGTCTGTCTTGCCATTGTCTGTTGAAGTGCAGGTTTGATCCAGCCAGTATAGAACTAGCTCTGTAGGGGTGAGGAGGACTGTGCTGTGTATCATCCTTGATTGTGTTCCTTCAAGGAGCATTGCACTGTAAGTACATCAGAATGACAAATTGATGAACTGCAACAGTATCTTTTTGTCAATGTTCCACATAATGCAAATGCCATACTTTGTGTGAATATTATGTTGGAATACAGTGCTGATATCTTGGAAAACCATAACTGCTTCTTAATTTAACATAGAATAATACATAGTTCTGTATTTTTTTTAAAGTGAGCTTAATGGGTAAGTATTTTTTATATGCTTTAGCTATAGCTAAAGAAAACTGATACTTAACAAAGTTGAATAGTATTATTCACTGGTGCTCCTGAAATATTGTTTTTCAGTGTAAAATATGCATATATTCTATATTTAATATGAAAGTCTTGAAATGTATCAGACAGAAGGGGATTTCAGTTTGCAAATAATGAGCAATGTAGCAATTTTAACACATTTCATAAATATATATTTTGTCATTGGTGGGGAGCACCATTTGTTGTTTTGAATATACTTTAAAGGAAGAGGTACAAGGACATAAATGTTGAGATTACCTACAGGATGGAAATAGCAGTACAGTTCATTATAGATATTTTGAAATGTTTTTGATTGTTTTATATAACCTAGAGTGACTTCCCTTACCCTTATTTAGATCTGGATATATAGTTCTAGTTTGAAGTTTAATAGTTAAGGAGTTAGCTATTTGTTATCTTTAAGAGTAGGGTATTGACGTGAGCAATTGCAGTATTTTGCATGATACTGTTTTATAGATGACCTTTTAGGAAAGTGGTGCATTTATTAATTGAACTGAAGAAGTAGTTCAGTTGAATTCAGTATCATAACTCACAAATTGGAGGCTGTTGATTTTGATTCATTTAAGGTTTAAAATCTTTATTAATTGCAAACAGTGCAATTATTTATACTTCACAGTGCCTTCCCAGACCTTCCACCTTAGGTTCTGCTGCAAAAAGCACCAGGTAAGCACAACCTAAGGACATATATAAATAAATATTTCAGTACATTAATGTTGTCCCTGTGAGGTTTTTGTGGTTGTGTATTCAAAGGCAATCTGCTACTGCTTCCCCAAAATGTATTTTGTTATTTTATGCTACCATCTTAGTGGAAAGTCTGTAAGTTGTTAAAGCAACTGTTTACATTTCTGGGTAATGTTTTTTATTTTACTTTTTTTTTTTTTTTATTAAGACAAGAAAATGATGAGTAGATTGCTGCAGTAATTGATCTACATCCAAATCTTTTTGTATTTTTTCCCCAAATATAGAAGTGTTAAGATTAAGAAAGGACAATTACACAGTTTTCAAGATTTAGGAAATCACTTGTTCAGAAACTTCAACAGCCTTCACAATCTGTTTTATATGATGGACAGAAAATTTCTTTGCCCTCCAAAACTATAATTTCTTTATTTTTTTCTTAAACTATAATAATTCAGTAAGGATATTATGGGTTACAATTTTATTATGATTTTTTTCTGAGACAAAAGTTATATGCTGAAAAAGGAAAAAGTTACAAGGCAGTATGTTTTGATAAAAGGCATGTGCATCAGTGAAATGTTAACTGTACAGCAAATAACCTTTCATAATCTGTAGCAATCAGTATTTTTCTGATTTAATAATATTTTAATAACTGACGCTGCATTTATATAATTTTTTTGCCAGTTTAAAATGTTTGTGTGTTTTTATAGATGATTTTAACTGGTACATATTTTGAGTTAAGATGAATGTATGAAAGCAGCATCTTATCAGTTTTGTTTATTTAACTGGTACATATTTTGAGTTAAGATGAATGTATGAAAGCAGCATCTTATCAGTTTTGTTTATTCAGTTTCTAAAATGTGCTGATCCTTTTAAAACTCCTGCTTATCTCTGCAACAAAGAAAAATATTCAAAAATACTGCCTTCATTTTCACACACAGTGCTGAAGATGCTGCAAGCACCAAATCATAGCTCATAAAATCAGGTCCTGAGATAGTTACCCATAAAGAGGAATCCTTTGAGTGTATGCCATTGGTGAGCCGATGAGCATGGACCATAGAAGGGCTCAATGTAGAAGGTAAAATTGGCAAATCATAATTGAGAAATATGAAATGTATTCCCATACATAATATGGTATAGGGTGTAATGTACCTGCTTTTGATCACTTTTCATTTTAAAGTGCTATTCACTTGATCTTAAATGTTCCATGAACTGTTAAATTTCTTAAGTTACATAGTTATTACACCACATTTATGTGTATGTTATGTTTTCATAGTCAATGATAGGTATGTAAATATAAAGGGACTCATTGAAACTTGAGAGCCTGTCGAGTTTTGGTTAGTTGTAGATTGCATTTTTATTAAAAAAATATAGATAGATGAATGATAATAGATATTGGGGCACTGTTTCTGTCTCATGAGAATTCTTTTATTCATTACCATAAGCCTTCACTGATAATATAAGCATTATTTTAAATGACGCTGGTCTTACATCTGAAATAAATGGAAAGCAGAAAAGGTGAGCCAGTTGATTTGAATGCATTGGATATTAGTGTTAGAAACAATGTATAGTTTAGATTGAAATTGAACTGACTTTATTTAGCACTTAAACAAAAATTTGACAATGTTTTTAGTTTTTTTTTAAGACAGCTTAGTGTGGTGATACTTAGAATTCTATGGTTTGATGTTTCTTTTAGAAATGAGAAGTATAGTTTTATTTTTTAATATCAAAAATGGTTTTAATACTAAAACTAGTAATTTAATACTAGTTGTTTATAAACATTGTAAAATATATCTTTTAAACAAATTATCTTAGTAGTTAATTCATAAGGGTGGGTTTGGGTAGGAATAGCAGAGTACCTTCAGAGGGAAAGGGGAGTAATTCAGAAGTGATAGCATTTTATTTGTTTGAATACTCTGCCAGTAAAATCAGCTCTACTTAGAAAGTTATCTGTTGTGTAGAATAATGATGTAGAGTTTACTAATCAGTGAGGATGTCTTGTTTTTATTTTCTGCAAACTCTGCCTCACTTTAAAATGCATTTTAACAATACCTAATTAAAGATAATTTTGGTTCTGAAAATAACCTTATTTTTTGTTGAGTTAGTGACTTCATTTTTCTTGTCACAATATAAGCTTTTGAGGGATTTTTTTAAATTGGTGCTTTTAATAAGCAAATCCCAGGGTTTTATTTTCTTCAGTGATACCCCTATAGAAACTCTTAAATGTATTTGCGCATATATATATATTTTTTCTTATGCATGCTCAATGCATTTTCGTCCTGAGAAAAATGTTCTCTACAGAAACTACCCGTGTGTAAAAAGAAGATTGGCTTAAAATGGCTACTGTGATGGGAACAGTGTCTTAGGGAGATGCAGCTTGGACTTGAGGTAAATTGAATACTTTACAAACTGTGGTTTAGAGTTTGCTTTAATGACATTGTATGTAAAAGGTCACTTGATAGCTGTAATTTTGTATTCATTATGGTTTCCTCAATAAATAAATGTACATTGATGAATATTATAAGGGAGTGCTTTGTGTTTTTTTATACACATATTACTTGGTAAAATTTTCTACTTGACTGGGTTTTTTTTTAATGCTTACTGTAAGAAAAGATTTTTTAAAAGTTCTAATGATAAAGGGGTACCATCTGGTTGCACAAGTCTTAAAATACAGGAAGACTTTTAAATACAGAAGTTACTTTATTTGGGTTCACATTGTAAAATAAAATTGTCTTCCAGAAAATTAAAATATAAAACTTAATAGAACATAATAGCTAATTATTTACAAATTCATTTTAAAGACTAGAATTTTAAATTGAAGGTTGTTCCACTTTTTCCCTAAGTCTGATACACTTAGATCTTGAAACCTTCAGCTATGTTGAAAGTGTTTTCTCTTCTGTGGACTATTAATACAAAGTTTTTTTATTAAAATATAATTTGCTCAGGCAAGATCACATAAATTTGCTTTATAAATTTAATTATATATTACGTTCGAAAAATAACATGTTTAATATCCTCAACACTCAACACTGTATAGGCAGTCTTTTTTAAAAGTCCTTTAATTTTTGTTTTTCTCCATGCTCCTCCCCTTTTCCTCTAAAAGGAGTGACACTTTTCCCCACCCCGCTTCAATATATCTGCTTCAGAAAGACTTTGAAACAACCACCAAAATGGTATACTACTAAAGAAAAAGTCCACTCAAATTGATAGGTTCCAAATTAATTATCTCAGCTATTTCAGCCTAATTTTAGGTGTAAAAAGCTCAGAAATGCCATTGCTTCATGCAAAATAATGTATTCTACTTAGGGGTGTGTGTGTGTGTTTTTAACATAGTTGCTGTAAACGTCTATGGGAAATACACAGCCTTTATAATAGGTTCTGACAGAATAATTAATCCCCCCCCGCCCCCAGTAAGTACATTTTATTGACTGTTACTGCATAATAGGCGATAAATCTGATGCTTATTTGGAAAAGAAGAAGGCATTCTTTAGATGAGCTGTGTTTTGAAGACTGTTACGAAAAGGAATAAGAAGTCAACATAGTGGCACTCCTGGTTTCCTTTTTTGGCCCCACCACAGAAAAGATGGATGTAGTAAGAAAGCTGGAGTGAAAGTAAGTTCCAAGGAGAGGGAAGGGGAGCTAGTAGTCATCAGCTAAAAAAGAGAAGAAGAAAAGTGATTTTAAGGAAAAAAAAAAATTAATAGAATAAAAGATAAAAGGTGATTAATTCTTACTTTCAATGGTAAGAATACAGGTACTAGCTGCAGATCCTTTATTGTTGACTGCTTTACACATATACTCTCCTCCATCTTCTGGGAAAGTTTCTGGTAAGTAAAGGCAGTAAGTTTCTCCCCTTTCAATATATTGATAGTCTTCTCCATCCTGCAATATTTCTCCTTCAAACCACCATGTAATTTCTGGTTTGGGTTCTCCTGTTACTTTAACAGTAAATCTGACTGGCTCACTGTCTACAACTGACGTGTTTTTAAGAGGCTTCTTGAACCATGGAGCTCCTGATCTGGTTTGCTCTTCATCTTCAGTAGTGGAGCCATTCATGATGCTACCTTCTTCCTCCTCCTCCTCTTCTCTTTTCTATATTAAAATAAATGGATTCAGGTTGGCATTTATAATACAGTATTTTCAGGGCAGCGATTTAGTAACAATTTTGAAGTGAAATTTGTTTTTTAAGTAAAGAACATAAAAGTATGCCTACTACAAAGTGTACTTAACAGTACATTTCAGTGACTTGAAAGAAAGCTATTAAAACATTTTTTTTAACCCACCTAATTATAAAACTATGGGTTTTAAGAGGGCGTCTTTGGAAAATAAAGGATATGTAAGCCTGGTACCTTTTGTAGTGCTGCATCAATTTCCCTTTGTTCAAACTGCATGCGTAGTAACTTTTGTTCTTCAATTCTTCTTTGTTCTTCTTCTTCTCTTGCCTTAGCCATTTGTTCAAATCTAGCTTTCATATTCACTTTGTGAGTAAATGGAGCCTCGCTTTTTCTTGCAGGCCTAACATCAACATCATCTTCCTGCAAGAAAGTGGGCCAAGATTAACAATTGCTTGCCTTCTAAAAACAAAGTTTCTAAAGTTGTTGCTTAGAAGCACAAAATGATTAACATGTTCGTAATGCATATTTTGGCTACACTGCAGACACTCAGATTTTTTCTGACTCCCCAGTTCAGGAAAAGTGATAGGTATATTTAATGAAGCATTCTCTTGGTTATAGTCTTTTTCTCCAAGTGTTACTGGGACATTGGGACAACAATATCACTGGGATCCCAGCCCATCTGTCCTACCAACTCTGCTTGGTTTTGATAGCACTTAATTGAAAAAGGTCAGAATACTATACATTCTAAATAATTGTTTAAAATACTCCCTTGATTCCCGTAAGTCCATAATTCCCTACTACATAATAGGAGAAAATCTGTTCTTTCTCACTTAATGATTTTCCTTTTTTACCCTTCTTAGAACTACGTCCCTGTGAATTCCATCCAAATAATGTATTAATGGTGAAATGGCAGGGAAAGGGTGTTTACAACTAACAGAGACAACTGTTGAAAGAGGCAGTGACTGAAACATGGGGAAATCACTAAGTAAAATACGTTTATGTCATCTGAGGGGTGAGTTGGAAGCCATGGTAATAATCAAGGGAGTGATTTAAGAGCATAGTCTCAACTGTCAAATACTGTGTCTAGGAAAATAATAATTTGGTAATGATAAGGTCTTTTAGAGCAGTTTTGGTGGAGTGGGGTTAATGTGGGTAGTTAATTAATGGTTTCTAAAGTGCTTCAGTTGTAGTTGACTTTTGGTTTCTAACTAGGCATTTGTGGATCTAGTTGGAAATCTCACCATTTATATTTCATAGTACTATGAGGAAATTGCTCCAGGTTGCCACATCCAACTAAAGGGAAATTTGAAACAAGTGCTAGTTTAATTGTCTATATAAGAAAAATCTTGGTTCGGGTGTTTCACTTCAGTTTTAGGTGTTGCACCTCACACCTCATACCTCGTACCTCTCATTTCCGATGAAAGGAGTAGGAGGTTAAAAAAATTGGATGGTTTTTCTGGCTCTGCATTATATTTTTTATTTGATGTTGGAAAATCATGGGACATCAGACAGCCTGCTACCTGATGCATCGATTCTTTTTTGTGCCATTATTTACCTTCAGTTGATAAATATAATGCCTGACTGGTTGTTGCTAATGAATGAATGAATGAATGAATAGCTTCTTTTTAAAAAAAATTATACGTGAAAGACTAAGAAAAATACATGTTAAACCATGATTTGCTTACTGTAGTTTTATCTGAACAAACTTCTGAGACTTAAATTTAAAAAGGACCTCTTTGTTCACAGTATACACTTTTTTTGTTGTTTACCAAATGAACCTTTAAGATGGAATATTTCAGCAGTACAAAAATTGCTATTCTGAGTCCCTCCCCGTTAATAACTTGCCTTTCAGATTTTAGCCTGTTTGTGCAAATTCATAACTATTCATTTAGCTGCCTCAAACCTGCATTTAGAAAATAAATTTGAGTAAGTAAAATAATTTCTCTTGAGCTGAAAATTTATGAGCAGTCCTTCAATCAAGTACAATTGTCAACTTTTCTTGAGCTCCTAAAAAGCCAGGTTAAAACATTTCTGGGAAAGAAATCTAAGAGAGTAATATAAATGGAACTCTGTAGGTACATTCTTTATAGGGCATTGGCGCCCTCAGCCCATGAATGTTAAAGTCAGCAGTTAGGCAGTGTATTTTCCTTGAGATACAATGGGGCATAAGATAATTTTGGAGTAGACTTTATTAGAAACTCTAGAAATTCAAACGTTATATAAGGCATTTAAGTACCAAATGAGGGGTGCATGTTTAAGTGCTACAGGAGCTGAGATGGAATTCTCTGATTAGGTAAGGTTATATAAATGAGTTGAGCCTTGACAGAATATAAACATTTTGAAGACACACTGAACATTGATATTTCTCGCTCTGTCACCCAGGCTGGAGTGCAGTGGCATGATCTTGGCTCACTGCAACCCCCGCCTCCCGGGTTCAAGCTGTTCTCCTGCCTCAGCCTCCTGTGTAGCTGGGATCATAGGTGTCTGCCACCACGTCCAGCTAATTTTTGTATTTTTAGTAGAGACAGTGTTTCGCCATGTTGGCCAGGCTGGTCTCGAACTCCTGACCTCAGGTGATCCGCCCACCTCAGCCTCCCAAAGTGCTGGGAATTACAGGCATAAGCCACCACGCTCCGCTGTTAACCAGTTTTTAAATGCGAGTTCAATCACTTTTAACCCAGAAAGGTATGATAGGAGGGACTTCATTGTCCTCCAGAGGAAACTCCATTCAGGATATTCTGATGGGGTATAAAAGTTCAGCCATGTCCTAATATCACATCCATGTATGCTAGAGTAACAGCAATAAAATAAGAAGTCACCTATCTTATTTTTGTTTTTCTTACCTACATATTTTGTAGGTATAGGTATGACTGCTAAGGTTTCACTACCAGTAACAAAAGGAAGTAAGTGCATGCTGATTGAACTTTTCTTTACCTTCCATGTTACACCTATAAATACTGATCTTTGGCCATTCATCCACTAAATGTTGATGTTCTCCAGGGTTTAATTCACTTTCAACAATTAACTTTCTAAGCAGCTTTATCTACTCGTACTTTCCATTGCTATCCATAAAAGTTAGAATCTGCTTCCCTCTCACCTTGGTTCAGGACCTTTGTTAGACTGCCTTTACCTTATCCAAATATCGCTCAAACTTTACATGCCAAAACTATTCACCCCAACTCCCCAGACCTGATTTCTCTATAGCATCATCTAGTTATCCTGAAGTAATGGTAGCCCCCTCCGCAACCAACTGCCCAAAAAGCAACCTATAACCCTTTTTTGTCTGTTTAACTTCTATCCATACCAGAGTCTAACCTAGTTTTGTTAATTAGGTCTGTTTTTCTCCCTTGGCCCAACTTCATGCCTGTCTTCCAGTTCATCCTCCATGGTCCCAGAATTCTTGCATAAACCTAAATATTTCATTACTCTGACCTAAAGAGTTGATTATTAACATTGTTTCCCAGATCATAGTTTCTGCAAGATTTAAAAAGACCTTCATTAACCAGCCACAACTTATTTTTACAACCTTGTATCCTATCACTTATTCTGTGAACCTTGCCTTGTAGTCCTTTGAACCTGTTTTCCATTCCCCAAATACATTTTTACAACCTCTGAGTTAATTGAAAGGCTTCTCCTCTATCTGGAATGCCTCTCCTCTTTACTTGTAACTTTTATTCAGCCTTCACACTCACCTTAAATGTCACCTTGGCCCTGTTAAACATATCCTAGGTATATTGACTCCACCCAGTTTGATTCTGTAATAACTTCTATTATAGTACTTACAATAATGAGAATTTTTTTCAGTCATACGTCATTAGACTGAACTTTTTTTTTTTTTTTTGAGACGGAGTCTCGCTGTATCACCAGGCTGGAGTGCAGTCTCAGCCTTCTGAGTAGCTGAGACTACAGACCCGTGCCACCACGCCCAGCTAATTTTGTATTTTTAATAGAGATGGGGTTTCACCATGTTGGCCAGGATGGTCTCAATCTCCACCCGCCTCGGCCTCCCAAAGTGCTGGGATTACAGGTGTGAGCCACCGCGCCCGGCCGTAGACTGAACTTCTTCAAGGTATGTTATATCCACGTATATATCCCCAAAACAACAGATCCAACATGTTAAAAAATGTTCAAAATTTTTTAGATGTTAAAAAATAGAAATGGTGTTTGCTTTTGGCAATGATGAAAAGGTTTATCTACAACTAACCTAGGCCTTAGGCTTGTATGTCACACAAACTTAGGTGCATTTCAAATTGGTTGATGTTTCACAGCATCTCCATTTGTCTCAAATAGCTTATGAAGCCTCTTCCAAACTAGTCTGGTTTCCCATATTGTTACTATATACTCTCACTATTCCTTCCTCTTTCTTCCTCTCCATCACCATCCCCAAGTCCTGCCAGTTTTGACTCCTGCATACTTATTTGTCCTTTCCATCCCAGCCCTAGTTCAAATCCCCAGGCCTTCTCTGACCACCCTTTACAAAACAGTAACACATACTCTTATTTCTCTTACTCTGCTTTATTAATTTTCATAGCTTTCATTTGTTAACCACCTGATAATTGTTTTCCACCCCTCCCGAGCCCCAACCCATGTATTAGATTCTAAACACTATATGAACAGGGACTATAAGTTTAGTTACTGATGTCTTGTGTCCAAAGCAGTCCCTGGAACATAGTAGTCATTCAAATTATTTATTTATTTCAGACAGAGTCTCACTCTGTCGCCAAGGCTGGAGTGTGCAGTGGTGCAATCTCGGCTCACTGCAGTCTCCACCTCCCGGGTTCAAGCCATACTCCTGCCTCAGCCTCCCTAGTAGCTGGGATTATAGGCACCCATCATTATGCCCAGCTAATTTTTGTATTTCTGTAGAGACAGGGTTTCACCATGTTGGCCAGGCTGGTCTTGAACTCTTGACCTCAAGTGATCCACCCTCCTTGGCCTCCCAAAGTGCTTGGAATTACAGGTGTGAGCTACCGCGCCTGGCCTCGAATGATTTTTTAATGTATGTATCTAAGACCACATAGCTTCAGCATGATCTAGCTATATAGGCAATATCTGACAATATCCATGCTTTCTTGTTTTAGAGACAGGGTCTTGCTCTGACACCCAGGCTGGAGTGCAGTGGTGTAATCACAGTTCACTACAGCCTCAACCACCCAGGCTCAATCAATCCTCCCACCTCAGCCTCCCAAGTAGCTGGAACTACAGGCATACATCACCAAGCTCAGATAATTTTTTTGTGTTTTTCGTACAGATATTTTTTGTACAGATAGGCACCCATCATTATGCCCAGCTAATTTTTATATTTCTGTAGAGACAGGGTTTTGCCACGTTGCCCAGACTGGCCTTCAAATGACTCAAGTGACACACCCACCTCGGCCTCCCAAAGTGCTGGGACTACAAGTGTGAGCCACTGTGCCCCGCCAATATCCATGTTTTAAGAATCCCTTCACATGGCATCTAAGACTCCATGATCATCTCAATTATGCTTGCATCTTCATTATCTTTTGCTGTCCTTTGCACTCGTGCATGCCTCAATAATAATGAATTGTCCCAATAATTGGCACAGTTTCTTCGTTCTATCCTTTTATTCAGTCTCCTGAAGGCGCTCCCAAATTCCCATATCTGTTTTGCTAGCTAAATGCTTGATCAAAATATATTTCTAGAATATAGGTTAAATTCTGTTAAACATTATAGGATAGGAATGCTGGCAGAAAAAAAATTTCTAGATCTCATTTAAACCAGTATTCATAATCACAGAAATAGTCCTTAAGCTAGAAGGGCTATTACAGGTCAGTGGTTGCCTCTTTATTTTATGTTTGAAGGTAATTCAAATTCATGTCATCAGAATTCTCATTTAGGCTCTTCCACACTGAATTACTGCTGTAACTTTGAGCAAGTATTAGACTTTATGGGTTTCATCTAAAAAATAAAGTATAAATAATATGGAGTTTAACTTGAATATACACTAGTTCTACTGACTCAACTAAAACATATGCCAAAAAATATTATTTTAGTTGTATAATTTTTTTGTAGAGATGGGGTTTCACTATGTTGCCCAGGCTAGCCTAGAACTCCTGGATCATGTGATCCTCCCTTCTTGGCCTCCCAGAGTGCTGGGATTATAGGCATGAGCCACCACGCCCAGCCGAAAAATACTTCTGAACATTTTTGCTAGCGTGAACCATTTGACATTCACTACAGGTTTTAACACTGATAAAGGTGATTTTGAAACAATGCTAGTCTTTCAAAGTCTAAGATCTACATGTGTTTTTGCTATTTACTTCCCAGATTACTGTATACACCAATGATTAATTTTAAGTACTAAAACTTATTTCAAAGCCAGTGTTACTTCTGTTAAATTTATTATTACTGTATCATAACTATGTTAAATATAAGGATAATATACCTCATGAAAATTTTCTGCTTCTCGCTCTTTAATTTCAAGGTCAATTGCTCTCCTTCTTGCTCGCTCTTCTTCTATTTTTTTCTGTATTTCTTTTTCAGACAACTGTCCAATTTTTTCAAACTTGCTTTTTAGGTTTTTAGCTTGAATAGAGCCACTCCTTTTTAATTTGATCAGTTCTTCATATTCTCTGCTCAGTCCAAATGTTTCATTTTCTTCCTCTTCCTTCAAAAAAAAAAAAATAAGTTTTTTGCTGCAGTTTTAGTCTCATTATGTTGCCCAGGCTGGCCTTGAATCCCTGTGTTTAAGCAATCCTCCTGCCTCAGCTTCCCAAGGAGCTGGGACTACAGGCACATGCCACCATGCGTGACTCCAGAAAAAAAAAAAAAAAAATTGAATATCAGCAGACTAGTTTGTACAATAAACCATCCAAAAAAATGTGTACTATTTCTTATTTGAAACCAAAAATACAGCTTAACCTCTTCTCTAAATGCAATGTCCAAATTTACTAACTCAAAATGGTGCTACAAATTTAAGGCATTATTGAAAACATTCTACTTAAAATACTATTCGCATCAGGGAATATGGTTAAAATCCTCTGACATCCCTTGATAACCTGCTAAAACTAAAATATTCATGACAAAATTAGCTTTTCCTAGGAGTTGCAGGAAGCTCTTTGTTAGGGGAAGCCAAAAAAATAATTGAAAGAACAGTAAGCCGGGTGCAGTGGCTCACGCCTGTAATCCCAGCACTTTGGGAGACCGAGGCTGGAGTGCAGTGGCGCAATCTCGGCTTACTGCAAGTTCCGCCTCCCAGGTTCACACCATTCTCCTGCCTCAGCCTCCCGAATAGCTGAGACCACAGGCGTCTGCCACCAGGCCCAGCTAATTTTTTGTATTTTTTTAATTGAGACGGGGTTTTACCATGTTAGCCGGGATGGTCTCGATCTCCTGACCTCGTGATCTACCCACCTCAGCCTCCCAACGTGCTGGGATTACAGGCGTGAGCCACCATGCCCGGCCCATCTTGTTCTTTTGTTCAGATTTCTTTCCCCTGACTTTTCACAATTTATTATTACTAGTCCTTTGTAATATTTATCAAACCCTAATACCACCATATGGAATGGTAAAATACTACAGGTATTCCTGGTATACTTTTCCTGGAGAAAACCTAAAGTTCTAGGGAGAGTTTTAAAAGGTAGAGGCAGAGGGTGTCACAGTCTGGGATGTTATGACATGAAGCTTAATTTCTTAACCAAGGGGTAAGAGAAAACGTTCCTTTATACTATTTCCACTTTTTAGACTATGTGGGGTGAAAATACACGACTCATAAGAAACCTAGACCTTGGAATATTTTCCTACAGCACATTCCTGGTATTTATTTATACATTTATATTTATATTCTCAGGGTCCGCTAGATAATTTGCCAGCCACACCTGGTGCAGAGAAGTAAAACTTCCCTTCCCACGTGCCCACTGCCCCAACCCATAAAAAACGGGCAACTTCCAAGAGATTGCAACCTCTGTGTAGGAACTCACTCGGTTCCTAGGTCATAAGTTGGTGAGAGGACCCCACCAAGGTGCCTGCCAAACATGCCATACCATTGCCAGTCCAAGTCATGAGGCTACATGTTAGACCCCGACCCTGTTCATGTGTGTGTCCTGGTCCCTGGCAGGGACCAAGGCTGATGCTGAATACAGGCCCCAATTCTACCTTTCTCTTCTGCTGCCCACGCAACCCGGGCCACCCAGAGGGATAGCAGCCGAGTCCCAAGAGGGAAGAAGGTTAGGCAGGGCCTTGGGAAGGGGGCTGATGAAAACCCATTTCAGGGAGGCAGGAAGGCGGCGTGAAACCCTAGTAAGCAAAAGCTATAAAGGGCATGCTTCATCGTCCAATCAGCTTTCACTTATATACAACACACAAATTCAAAGGTAAAATTAAGAATTTCAAGACAGTGGCTGGGCATGATGGCTAATGGCTGTAATCCCAGAACTGTGGGAGGCTCAGGTGGGAGGATCGCTTGCCAGGAGTTGGAGACCAGCCTGGGCAACAAAGTGCGATCACCCCATCTTTAGAGAAAAAAAAAAAAGGCCTGGCGCGGTGGCTCACGCCTGTAATCCCAACACTTTGGGAAGCTGAGGCGGGTGGATCACGAGGTCAGGAGATGGAGACCATCCTGGCTAACACGGTGAAACACCATCTCTACCAAAAATTACAAAAAATTAGCCGGGCCTGGTGGCAGGCGCCCGTAGTCCCAGCTACTCCAGAGGCTGAGGCAGGAGAATGGCGTGAACCCGGGAGGCGGAGCTTGCAGTGAGCCAAGATCGTGCCACTACACTCCAGCCTGGGCGACAGAGCGAGCCTCCGTCTCAAAAACAAAAAACAAAAAACAAAAAAGTGCTGGGCACAGTGGCTCACACCTGTAATCCCAGCACTTTGGGAGGCCAAGGTGGGCGGATCACCTGAAGTCAGGAGTTCGAGATCAGCCTGGCCAACATGGTGAAACCCGTCTCTACTAAAAATGCAAAAATTAGCCAGGCATCGTGGCACATGCCTGTAATCCCAGCAACTCGGGAGGCTGAGACAGGAGAATTGCTTGAACCTGGGAGATGGAGGTTGCAATGAACTGAGACCGTGCCATTGCACTCCAACCTGGTCGACAGAGCAAGACTCCATCTCAAAAAAAGAAAAAAAAATTAAAAATTAGCCAGACATGGTGCTGCGTGCACCTAAAGTCCCAGCTACACAGAAGGCTGAGACATGAGGATCACTTGAGCACAGGAGGTCAATGCTGCAGTGAGCCATGTTCACACCACAAAAAAGAATTTCAAGACAGCGACCTCAACATTAAACCCCAAATGCAGGGCCTTCTGAACATGGAGTCTTGTGAGTGCACAAGGTGCATGCCCATGAAGCTGGCACTGTATAGTCTACATATATGTATTGAATATAAATACGCATATTTATTAACTATAAATATAAATAAATAGTAATAGCTCAGTCCCTTGCAAACCTCGATACTTTTTTATTAAACTGGCAAGGAAGGAGTAGTTAAAGCAGACTAGAAAGTACACATAATTGTGCAGACACCTGTACTATGTAAGCACCTCATAGTAGTATGCCGACTATCGTAAAGGTGAATAAGTTATTATAAGGTGATATAAGTAAAATATTTAGCTAATAAATATGGGTAATATAAATAGATATTTCTTAAAATCTTACCTCTCCCATTTCCTGTCTCAGTTGTTCAAATTCTTGTTTCTCCATTTCTAGCTTATGCTTCCGTTCTTCCTCTGTTCGTCGTTTTTCTTCTTCCATTTTTTGTTTTAATAATTCTTCAAAATTAATTTCCAGTTTTCCCGGTGTAAGAGATTCTTGAGAGACTGTCTTATACATCTCTGGGGAGTCATCATCTACTACCTATTTAAAATAATTCTTTTATCACTCTGGCCAGAATTATACACACTAAAAAGGGACTATTTCTTGAAGAAACTGGGATTTCTTTACTGTTTGTTTTTAATTTTGGTTTTTGTTTTTTGAGACAGAGTTTCCATCTTATTGCCCAGGCTGGAGTGCAATGGTGCAATCTTGGCTCACCGCAACCTCCGCCTCCCAGATTCAAGCAGTTCTCCTGCTTCAGCCTCCCGAGTAGCTGGGATTACAGGCATGCGCCACCACGCCTGGCTAATTTTGTATTTTTAGTAGAGACAGGGTTTCTCCATGTTGGTCAGGCTGGTCTTGAACTCCTGACCTGAGGTGATCTGCCCGCCTTGGCCTCCAAAAGTGCTGGGATTACAGGCGTGAGCCACCATGCCCAGCCAGATTTCTTAAACAGGTTTCACACTGAACAAAAAACAAGGGGACTTAACAGCAAACAAGGAATTCTCAACACAGTGTTCAAAAATAAATAAATAAATAAATAAATAAATAAATAAATGAGAAGAATTATTGGAAAATGTAAGACTGAGGTATTTTGTAACTATCAGGTTACCAGGAAATGGTAACCATCTATTCTCTATCACAATGAAGACAAAAAATACTTTATTCATATCATGAGTACTTTGAATTAGACATTAAGATTTCCTAATTTGAGAACATTTTTAATTGGATTAAAATGGCTCTCCATTTTGGTAATTAAAGCATTTAAGTTAATCATGATTTTGTCTGAATGAATTAGATAACCAGTCATGATCTCTTCATAATCAGGCAAAAATCATTCTTAGTGCTATGAGTTTATTGTTTATTTGCTGTTGGGCTAATTTTAAAGAAATAATAATAGATAATACTGAGAGCTGCCAAGTACAGTTATAAGCACTTTACATGTATTAATTTATTTAATCCTATAACCCTATGAAATAGTTACCAATATCCTCATTTTACAGACAAGGAAACTGAGGCACTGAAAAGTAATTGTCTAAAGTCAACACAAATGCTATGTGGCAAAGCTGGGATTCAAACTTCAAAATCTTTCTAATAAGATTATAGGCCAGGCACAGTGGCTCACGCCTGTAATCCCAGCACTTTGCAAGGCCAAGGCAGGTGGATCATGAAGTCAGGAGTTCGAGACCAGCCTGACCAACATGGTGAAACCCTGTCTCTACTAAAAATACAAAAATTAGCCGGGTGTGGTGGTGGGTGCCTGTAATCCCAGCTACCGGGGAGGCTAAGGCAGGAGAATCACTTGAACCTGGGAGGTGGAAGTTGCAGTGAGCCGAGATCACACCATTGCACTCCAGCCTGGGTGACAGAGCGAGACTCCATCTCAAAAAAAAAAAAAAAAAAAAAAAGTTTATAGACCAGGCATGGTATAACATAACCCTCTGGCCTGAACTGTGACCCTGTGGTTGAAATAGACATAGGAGAATGAGACAAGGGGTATTATTCATTTGCTCCAAGTTTTATCAAGGCAATCCAAGCTTTACCACAGAACTATTTCAACTCAGAAACAACGTTTAAGTGGTTTACAATTCAAAGACTGCCTGAAATTTTTAAATTTTATATATGCATGAACTAAGCTATAGTATGAAATCACAATACTTACTCCTGGATAAATTACAATACTTATTTGTGGATAAGAAAACAATATAAATGTAAAAGGAAGTTTTTCTTTCTCTTTAGAAATGTGTTTAGGAAACTTGGTTTTGTTTTAACGCAGTTTTCTCCCCTGCATTTTTTTCCACTAGTGAATCATGGTAAAAAGGCAGTTTTGGCCTACAAATCTGCCCCGAGGACTAGGTCTTGTAATCTTCACAGTTACTTCTCTTCTACCGCTTCTAAACCTGCTTATTCTCCAACAATTAAGTGCATTTACAACGTCTGTAGGATTTCTATGTAGAAACCATTTATGAATCAGGGATTACCTACTGCATGCAAGATTTCAGTATCACTTGTTCCATCAACATTTACTGGAGGTCTGTTATACTAGGCATTGTGCCACATGTTTGATGAACAGTCTTGGCCTCATGGAGTGGAAAAGACAGCCATAAGTGATAACAATACAGGATTAGCGCTACGATAGAAGAGTACTAAATGCTGTAAGAATTCATGGAAGAAGGTGTTTATTATCAGGAAAGGCTTTCCAGAGGAAATGGAAAGTTATGAATTGGAATTAGCAGAGCACAGGGAAAGGAGTGAGGGACATCTTTCAGACAGTGTGAAGGCTGAGAGAGTCTCACTTTGAAGAAATACAAACAAATTTAGCATATTTGGAACAAAGAGCAGATTAAGGAAGGATCAAGAAATGAAACGGGAGCAATATACAAGAGCAAGACTATAAAGAAATTTGTTTTAGAAGTTTTTGGATTTTTACTAAAGAAAAGTGTGAAAATATTAAGCAAAACTGTAACAAAACACAATCAAAATTTCTTTTTAAAGATCACTCCTGGCTTTGCAGGAAAGAATAGGTTACAGGTAAGATAACAAGTTAATTAGGAGTTGGTCCCAGGCAAATTGTAACAGTAACTTGGATTATAGTAGTGGCAGTGGAAAATGGGGGGGAAACTGACAGATTTTAGAGTGATTTAGGAGGCAGAATAAATGAGACTTAGTGACTGGTTGGACGTCAGGCATGAATAAGAAGATAGAAGTGTTTCAGGCTTCCAAGTTTCTGATTTGAGTATCTGTGTGGGCGATAAAGCCAAATAAACACTTGGACATACGTGTCTGATGCTCACCCATATTGAGGAAGAAAACCAGCTTTTGATATCACCAAAGCCAATTACAATGTATCAAGAAGGAGATGCAGGGCTCAAGTCTCAAATTGCTTGAAAATTGTTTGTCAGATAACTGTATATTACACAAACATAAAACTGGTATAGGAAGTACAGTCATAACCTTGTGACAGTTAAGTTAGGTATCAATTTCCAGGAGTGATGAGTGAGCATTTTGGAGAGAGAAATAATTCTGATTAAATGACTCAGGTCATTTAATATATAGTGGGTGGGATGAAAACTGAAAATAAAGAAGGAAAGGAAGGAAATAAAGGAATGAAGGAGGGGAAAAGGGAGTGTGGGAAGGAGGTGGGGAAAGAATGGAGAGGAAGAAAGGAAAAGTTAGGGGAGGAAACTCCCTACTTCTTCTTCTTCCTTGGATACTTAGTTCTGGAAAACATGTTTTCCCAGAGAAGGGAAATAATATTCCATCCTTTGTGCCAAGTGTGGCAATTTAAATCAGAATCTTCTGAACACTAAACTGAAGCAAATACCTTCAATCAACTGGTGTTATTCCACCAGTTGGGAGACTTCAAAATACATTTGCCATTTCTACTCTTGGCACAGATTCCAGAAATAATAGGGTATTCTCTAAAGTCTAATGATTCTATTAATATATTCTCAAAGGTGAATTCTAATAGCATTCTCCAGTTAGCTTCTGTCTTACCATGTTTCTCCTTGCTTCAGCAAATGCCTTCTTTTCTTCCTCTATTCTCCTTCTGGCTTCTTCTTCTGCTTTCCTTTTTTCATCTTCTCTTCTTTGCCTTTCTATTTCTTCAAAACTGAGTTTGAGTTTACCAGGGCGGTACCCTTTAAAAATTTTTGCTGTGTCTTGGTTTTCCTCTTCTTCATTTACCTAACAAAATAAACAGTTCATTACTAAGAATTGAGATTCATCAGAAAAAGGAATGAATTATCAAACAAAAGGCACAGAATTAGCCACTTCACATAGGACTGTTTGAATGCCCTTAATATACTTGACCAAAATCCTCTTCCTTTTGAATGTCTTATATGATAAAATATTCAAGTTTGGAGAAATTCCATATAAAGATGTACTCAGGTGAAATAAAACTTCTCAAGAAAGTCAAATTTCTATAGATAAATTTGAATATTAAAACATTTTTAGCCAGGTGTTGTGGCGGCTCACGCCTGTAATTCCAGAACTTTAGGAGGCAGGAGGATCGCTTGAGCCCAGGAGTTCAAGACCAGCCTGGACAACAGAGCAAGACCTCGTCTCTACTAAAAACCAAAAAACACATTATAGCCATTGTGGTGGTGTGTGCCCGTAGTCCCAGCTACTCGAGAAGCTGAGGTGGGAGGATCCCTTGGGCCCAGTAGGTTGAGGCTTCAGTGAGGGGTTACTGTTGAGTATTAACTTTCCCAGAACAAATATAAAATGTGTATGTGTGTGCTATCATTGGGGTTCAAGTAGATCTACACAGCATCTCTTTGGTAGTAAAGTAAGGTTCCCATTTTGTAATCTTTGTAGTTTTTTTTTTTTACTGTGAACTATGGTGCCTTATACTAACCAGATAAAAGATTATTATCTAGAACTATTTTATATAAAATTCCAGCTTTATGATTTTATCATTAAAGTTTTAATTTATTATTAAATTTACTATAATATCCATTGAAATGCATTATTTAATAATACTATTTCTTTATTAAGTTGACCACCAGAAATATCTAAAATGTGTAGATACTATGCAGCTATACCCAAGAGTAATAACATTTTCAAATAAATGTCTAGAAAATTAAATTTTTATATATATAATTACTAGAACATCATTCAAGCAAGCTGATCAAGAAATTTCTGTAACTTTAAAATTACAAATATTCCATTTTTAGATCCTTTTTTTTTTTTGAGACAAGGTCTCACTCTGTCACCCAGGCTGGAATCCAGTGGCTCATTCATAGTTCACCATAGCCTTGATTTCCCAGGCTCAAGCAATCTTCTCACCTCAGCACCTGGGGAGCTTGGACTACAGGTCTGTGCCACCACACCTGACTAATTTTTGTATTTGTTTTTGTAGAAACATGGTTTCCACATGTTGCTCAGGCTGGTCTCAAACTCCTGGGCTCAAGGGATCTGCCTGCCTCAGCCTCCCAAAGTGCTGAGATTACAGGCATGAGCCACCATGCCTGGCCCATTTTTAAATCTTAAAATGAATCAGTGTATTCTTATTTCAATTTTACTTTTTATTGATAAATCTATTAATACCATAATAATACTTAACATTTTCTAAGAACTACTGTATATGTAACAAACACCATCTTAAGTGCTTCCTAGATATTAACTCATTTAACCATTTAAGAAATAGGCATTTAAAAAAATCCAAGTCATTGTGGAAGTTAAAAAAAAAAAAGAAGAAAGCGCTCTCATTTTTACTGTTTTAAAAATCAAGAAACTGGCCGGGCGCGGTGGCTCAAGCCTGTAATCCCAGCACTTTGGGAGGCCGAGACGGGCAGATCACGAGGTCAGGAGATCAAGACCATCCTGGCTAACACGGTGAAACTCCGTCTCTACTAAAAAAATACAAAAAACTAGCCGGGCGAGGTGGTGGGCGCCTGTAGTCCCAGCTACTCGGGAGGCTGAGGCAGGAGAATGGCCTAAACCCGGGAGGCGGAGCTTGCAGTGAGCTGAGATCCAGCCATTACACTCCACCCTGGGCGACAGAGTGGAGTGTAATGGAAAAATAAAAAAATAAAAAAAATCAAGAAACTAAGAGAGAGATTTAATTAATTAACACAGCAAGAGATTAAAACAGTTGTCCATGGTTACACAGTTAGTAAATGGCTGATATCTGAATCTAGACAATCCGGCTCCACAATCCATGCTCTTAACCACCACACTACACACACACACACACACACACACACACACAGAGGCATGCACACAAATACACACACACATACACTTAATAGGGCAAACTCCATATTCCACTGTAAACTATTATTCTGATATGTTCAAACACTTGAAAAACTGGACTGCTGAGGACAAGTTTACACTTATAATCAGTCCTGCACCCATGTCACTAAGTACATTGCAGATTGAACTAACAGATGAAGGAAACTAGGTTCATTGAGTAATTATTTTGCATACTTATATATTAATAACAATTTATAAAAATAAAAATTTAAAGCATATTGGGTAAAATGCCCCAGAGTGGAAACTGGAAAACAGTATGGATTTTGTTTTTGAGACAGTCTCACTTTGTTATCCAGGCTGGAGTACAATGGTGCAATCTTGGCTCACTGCAACCTCCACTGCCTGGGTTCAAGTGATTCTTGTGCCTTAGCCTCCCAAGTAGCTGGGATTACAGGTGTGCGCCACCACAGTCAGCTAATTTTTGTATTTTTAGTAGAGATGGGATTTCACAATGTTGCCCAGGCTGGTTTCAAACTCCCAACCTCAGGTGATCTACCCACCTTGGCCTCCCAAAGTGCTGGGAATTACAGGCGTGAGCCACCATGCCTGGCCTAGACACATTTTATATATGGAATATCTATACAACTGGAAAATCAGCCCTTCTATATGTAAAATCTCTTTGAATTTATAGTGATGAACCTTATCTAAAGCCAACTAACTTCATTAATATTAATTGTAAGGTTTAAATATGTAGATTTACCATTTGCCGCCTTGCTTCTTCAAAAGCACGCTTCTCTTCTTCCAAACGTTTCCTTGCTTCCTCTTCAGCTTGCTTCTTTCGGTTTTCTTGTCTTTGTCGCTCCAGTTCTTCAAAAGTTAGTTTCAATTTTCCAGGAGAAAGTGATTCTTTTTTTGCTTCACTTTCTAGTTCATCGTCCTAAGAAAACATTATGAAAACCCACCTTTTATTCATAAAGGAAAATGCTAACTTAAACTGCCTTGATTTGTTTCTTAAAAAACAAACAAAAAAAACTTACCATAACTAATGAAAGACAGTTTGCTTCCTTGAGAGATCGTCGTTGTTCATCATATCTTACTCTTTTATCTTCCTCATACTTGATCCTTTCTTTCTCTTCACGTTCTTTTTCTAGATCCTCAAAATTCTTTTTCATTTTTCCAGATGTTTTATATGATTTAACAGGTACCACAGTTATAAGTAGTGAATCATCTCCTTCCTGTTTTATAAAATGAATAATTAGCATATTTCTTCTTAATCAAAATTGGGTTTCATGGGACTTTACCTCCATAATAAGTGAATTCCATTACATTGTCATCAATGTTATTATGAAGAACAAACAATTACTTTTTACAGATTATTATTAAACATCTCCTACTCTAAATTCTTTGTGCATTGTGAGTTAATCTTAGTGAAATCCATTGCTGATGAGGTTCAAGAAGCATTCTATTTCCTAGAAGATGTAGTTAATACAGCTGTTAAGATAACGAAACTGCAGTGGCATTGCCTGAATTAAGCTATTTGTGCACTAATCCACAAAATGTGCATGTGAATGTACTGTAAATCAATTTGATGGTGGACAGATTCAGTTTAAACAAAAAAAATTTCTTCATATGATTTTTATCTCTAAGCTTTTAAATACTGAATGAAACTAGTATTTAGTGAGAAAAAAACACAGTTTTTCCAAGTGATTTATTAAACATATATATTATAGATAAAACTCTCTGGTATTTGATTGTATTAAACTATTATTTAATTCATTTTAATCATATAATCTATTGTTGCCTCTGACTTTTTTAAAAACTAAGAAGAGTTATGAAATGAAACACATGGTCCTGAGATAAAATTGCTCCCAATTTATGGGCTGTAGTTTTAGGCACACCATCAAATTGAAAGATTTTTAACTTATTCTGTTAGATGAAAGGGATGACTAAAATTTTTGTGGTTGTTGAACATTTCTTCATGGTAACAGATACTGCACTCTATACTATTATATAAAAACCAAAACATAAACTCTCAGGAACTCTGAGGAAAGAAGACAAACGATGAAAATAAAATTGCCTTTTTATAAATGTTAGCGTTCAGTAATCTCAGCTGTTAGTAACAGTTCAAAAAATACATTGTCTTGGCAGAGTATCTCAAACTGAGACTAATAAGTTTGTCTTTCTAACCTAACTATGAAAGCAAAACAAAACATACTTTTCTTTGAAACACTAAGCTATAGTGTTTGAAAGTGCAAAAGTATGCTCTTGCTTTGCAAAACATACTTTTTTGTTATTTCTATATTTATAATAAAAATAATAAAAGCCCTTTTAATTTTTTCTTATACTAAAAGATAATTTGTGAATCAGATAATTTTAGGTGAATGTTTCATTAAAGGAAATGTCTGTTTACCTCTGATGCTGATTCAGTTCCCGTATTGTTTATGTCCTCAATCTATTGAATGAGAATTTCATATCATTACATTACATCAGATTTCTACTTTTTGCTTTTAAACATACAACTGGAAAGTAATTTAGTTGTGACTTATAGTAAATTTTCAAATTTATAATTTTTGAAATATGTTTATGTTGTTCCAAATTAGCCAAATATGTCCTTTATATTTGTTGTTGCATATTGATATCAATATCAATATCCAGAAAACGACATATTAAGAAAACAATCAGGCTGGGCGAGGTGGCTCATGCCTGTATTCCCAGCACTTTGGGAAGCCGAGGTGGGCAGATCACTTGAGCCCAAGAGTTCAAGACCAGCTTGGGCAACATGGCGAGATCCATTCTCTACAAAAAGCACAAAAATTAGCTGGACATGGTGGCATGCACCTGTGGTCCCAGCTACTCTGGAGGCTGAGGCAGGAGGATCACTTGAGCCCAGGAGGTTAAGGCTGCAGTGAGCCATGTTCAAGCCACTGCACTCCAGTGTGGGTGACAGAGTGAGACCCTGTTTCAAGAAAAAAAAGAAAGAAAAACAGAAAAAATTGAGACAAAGCCTACCTTTGTAACCTAGAAACTGAATAACAGACCAAACTCTTATGACCAATCTGTTGAGCTTACAAGCAGCAATTATTAATTTAATTAGCAATTTAAACCAAGACACATAGAAACACTTCTCCATTCTTTGTCACTGCCCCATCAAAAGGAAAACCTATCCATTAGCAATCTAATACTTGTCATGATTATATTTTACAACATAAGTATAGGGCAAAAATAAAACTGATACAATAACAGTGCAGTGAAAGATGTAGGCTAGTTTATTTTTTTGAGACAGAGTCTCATGCTGTCACCCGGGCTGGAGTGTAGTGGCATAGTCTCAGGTCACTGCAACTTCTGCATGCTGGGTTCAAGCAATTCTCCGGCCTCAGCCTCCTGAGTAGCTGGGACTACAGGTGCACACCATGACGCCTGGCTAATTTTTGTATGTTTAGTAGAGACAGGGTTTCACCATGTTGGCCAGGCTGGTCTCGAACTCCTGACCTCAAGTGATCCACCCACCTCAGCCTCCCAAAGTGCTGGGATTACAGGCATGAGCCAGCGTGCCCAGCTGGGATAGAATAGTTTAGAAGGGAAAATAATTCTGATAGTCATCTTTTCTCTATATTTTGACTAGGTCAAAGTAGGAAAGCTCCTCATTTAAAAAGTGAGAGCTCGGCCAGGCACAATGGCTCAAAAAAAAAAAAAAGAAAGACTTCTCTTCCTAAAAGAATACTGACAACTCTTGTATAAATCATGTTAATCTCTCAATAAAAAGCTCCAGGAGGCTGGACATGGTGGTTCATGTCTGTATTCCCCTAACTTTGAGAGGCCAAGGTGGGAGGATCTCTTGAGCCCAGGAGTTTGAGATGAGCCTGGGCAACAAAGTGGGACCCCATCTCTACAAAAAAAAATTTTTTGGTAGACTTTTTTTTGTAGAGACAGCAGGGTCTTGCTGTGTTGCCCAGGCTTGAGTACAGTGGTGCAACCTTTGCTCACTACAACCTTCGCCTCCCGAGCTGAAGCGATCATCCTCCCACCGCAGCCTCCCAAGTAGCTGGGACTGCAGACAGGCACCACCATGCTCACTATTTTTTTTTTAATTTTTGTAGTGACAGAGTTTTACTATATTGCTCAGGCTGACCTTGAGCTCCTGGGCTCAAGCAATCCACCTGCTTCGGCCTCCCAAAGTGCTGGTATTACAGGTGTGAGCCACCACACCTGGCCAAGAAGTTTTTTAAAAATTAGCCAAGCATGGTGGCATGCATCTGTAGTCCCAGCTACTTAGGAGGCTGAGGTAGGAGAATTGCTTGAGCCCAGAAGGTTGAGGATGCAATGAGCTGTGATTGCACCACTGCACTCCAGCCTGGGCAACAGAGCAAGACTCTGTCTTAAAAAAATAATAAAAATGAAAAGATCCAGGAGATACGGTGAAAAGCCAGACATTGAGAATATAGAAAAGAGAAATACTAAATTTGTTAACTCAACTTTCTTTTATTGCTGCTGCTGCTACAACCTTCCCAAACCCAGGTTTTTTGTGTTGTTGTTGTTGTTGTTGTTGTTTGTTTTTGGTGCAGTGGCCTGATCATGAACCTCCTGGGTTCAAGCAATCCTCCCACTTTAGCCTCCCAAGTAGCTGGGACTATAGGCACCCACCACCACCTCCTGGCTAAGTTGTTTGTCTGTCTGTTTTTAAGAGCTGAGGTCTCACTATATTGTTACCCAGCCTGCTTCCCCGATCTCTATTAGCTTATGGTAAAATAATAAAGTATGTTTGAAGATCTTTTTTGCTTTCTTCTTTGCTCACTTTAAACCATTACCAAAACAAGAAAACACTGGAGCATACTTTTTTTTTTTCAACAAACAAGGAAAAAGATAAATCTGTCTAAGTAGCCATGGTGTCAGTATATTCACAGAGACAAGATATTCAGAAGTTCAGTCACAGTGTTGACTTTCAGAAGACAACATTGAAGAGCCGCTTCCTATTTCTTTTGCTTTACAAAAAATGAAACTCCTTTTGCTTCTTCCCAAATCAACTTCCTTCTCTTTTTCTTTTCAACATCTCCTTCTTTTCCCTCAAAGGTAACTTCTCTTTTTTCTAAGCTGATGGACTGTAACTTTGCTCATCAGGGTATCCTCAAAAATGAACAGATAATATCAAATCAAGTTTCTTCCCCAAATTGATTCTAACGTCCACTATACTATTAATCCCTACCCACCCCGCTACCATCTTTTTTTTTTTTTTTTTTTAAAGAGACAAGGTCTCTCTGTTGCTGGGTGGAAGTGCAGTGGAATGATCATAGCTCACTGCATCCTCAAACTCCTGGGCTCAAGCAGTCCTCCTGCCTCAGCCTCCCAAGGTGCTGGGATTACAGGCATGAGTCACCATGTCTAGCTCTCATTTTTAATTCATTGTAAGATCCTAGAATCTCCAAATCTTGTAGATCACCAAGACATTCAGCTACCCCCGACTCAGGAATCCTTTTTATGGCATTCTTGCATATGGATTTATACAAATAAATTTTACAAACAAACATTCAAACTCTTCTTGACTACCTATGCCATACTTTACTCCTTATATTCAAAGATACATTAAATTATATTAGAGTGGAGTGGAAAATGTACTTAATTAGATTTGAAAATTAAACTTTACATATTTACAAGATAAAATTACTAGGCTGGGTACAGTGGCTCATGCCTATAATTACTTTGGGAGGCTAAGGTGGGCAGATCATCTGAGATCAGGAGTTCAAGACCAGCCTGGCCAACATGGTGAAACCCTGTCTCTACTAAAAATACAAAAAAATTAGCTGAGAGTGGTGGCATGTGCCTGTAGTCCCAGCTACTCGGGAGGCTGAGGCAGGATAATCACTTGAACCCGGGGGGCAGAGGTTGCAGTGAGTCGAGATTTTGCCACTGCACTCCAGCTTGGGTGACAGAGCAAGACTCTGTCTCAATTTAAAAAAAAAAAAAAAAAGGCCAGTGCGGTGACTCACGCCTGTAATCCCAGCACTTTGGGAGTCCGAGGCAGGTAGATCACCAGAGGTCAGGAATTCAAGACCAACCTGGCCAACATGGTGAAACCCTGTCTCCACTAAAAATACAAAAATTAGCCAGGTGTGGTGATGGGCACCTGTAACCCCTGCTACTCAGGAGGCTGAGACAGGAGAATTGCTTCAAGCTGGGAGGTGGAGGTTGTAGTGAGCCAAGATTACACCATTGCACTCCAGCCTGGGCGACAAGAGCGAAACTGTCTCAAAAAAAAAAAAAAAAAAAAAAACTACCCTCCGGGATTTCAGACTTGCATGGGCCCTGTAACCCCTTTGTTTTGTACAATTTCTCCCATTTGGAACTGCTGTATTTACCCAATACCTGTACCCCCTTTGCAAATCCAGGGTAAATACATTTCTTTAGTAAGTATGGCATATGCTTTGCTTTCGTCACTTTTCTTTTTCAGAAAGGTAATGGAAACTGAAGGGAGCATAGCAAAAAGACTGAAAGCACTTAATGTATGGCTTTAAAAGACCAGCTGATATGGTTTGGCTCTGTGTCCCCATCCAAATCTCATCTTGAATTGTACTCCCATAATTCCCACGTGTTGTGGGCAGGACCCGGTGGGAGATAATTTGAATCATGGGGATGGGGGTGGTTTCCCCCATACTGTTCTCGTGGTAGTGAATAAGTCTCATGAGATCTGATGGTTTTATCAGAGGTTTCCACTTTTGCATCTTCTTTATTTTCTCTTGCCACTGCCATGTAAGAAGTGCCTTTCACCTCCCTCCATGATTCTGAGGCCTCCCCAGTCATGTGGAACTGTAAGTCCAATAAAACCTCTTTTATTTTCCAGTCTCGGGTATGTCTTATCAGCAGCAGCAGCATGAAAACAGACCAGCATTTAAAAGTATTGTTATTAGAAGATTAGCATTTTGTTAGGTACTCATGGATAGTTTATATGTGACATTGCCTTACATCTTTGTAAAATCTTCTAACCTGTAAAGAAAAATAAGGAATGTAGACGGGGTGAGGAATGTGGATAGAATGGTAAGATTGTATATGACAGATATCATCTCACTATTCTACCTTAAAACAGGCATATTCTGCCAATATCCTTCTAGGCATCTGATGTTAAATGTTTTTCCTTCAAGTCTTTTCAGGTTAGCTGCCTTTTTTTTTTTTTCTTTGAGATGGATCATACTCTGTCACCCAGGCTGGAGTCCAGTGGCATGATCTGGGCTCACTGCAACTTCCACCTTTCAGGCTCAAGCGAACCTCCTACCTCAGCCTTCTGAATAGCTGGGACTACAGGCACTTGCCACCATGCCCAGCTAATTTTTGTATTTTTTTGTAGAGACGGGATTTTGCCATGTTGCCGAAGCGATCCACCCACCTTGGCCTCCCAAAGTGCTGAGATTACAGATATGAGCCACCATGCCCAGACGGTTAGATGCTTTTTAATAGGTTTATGTTATATTAAAATATTTTAATTAGGCAACATACTGATTAGTTTTACTTTGCACAGTTAGTTCAGAAACAAAGACGAACTTAATCTTTAGTGATACCTGCTCAGCCCTTTTTGCTAATTCACGCTGTATTTTCCTCTTTTCTAACATATCCTGCTCAATTCTGCGTTTTCGTTCCTCCTCCGTTCTCTTCCTTTGTTCCTCTTGTCTTTGTTTCTCCATTTCAGCAAATCTACCCTTAACAGTTCCTAAGAATATATGAAAAAAATGTTTAATAATTGGCTGTGTTTCTATTTTGCAATTTAATTTGCTATTTACCCCTTAAGCTTCTTACCTGTTAATTTTGGAACATAAGCCTTTTCTACTTTAGAAGATACGTCTTCCTCATCATCAGAAGCAAGCATTTCTTTAATCTAGATGGTTAAATAAATTAATGTGAGCACATGTCCAAAAATTAGACTAAATCATATTATATGCAGAGTTTAAATTAGGTTACAAATACAGAAAAGTATTTTAGTTATAGTTAATATGAAATGTGGTTAATGTGAATAAATACAATTTAAATTAAAAAAATGAAAACAAGTATTTTCACGAGAATAAAGTAAAATAAAGTAACCTCCTGCTTTCTCCTGTTCCATTCTCTCTCTCTAATATATTGTTCTTTTCTTCTTTGCTTTTCGTCTCTAGATCTCCTTTGATTTCTTTCTTCCCTGGCTCTCTGCATGGCTTCAAACTTATCCTTTACATCACCCTTGCCAAGTTTTGGTACATAGGTTTTTGGGACAGGTTTAGATGAAGAAAGCAGAATCTTCATTAGAAGAAAATAAAGAAAAGAAAGTTAACGAAAAAGATAGGAAGAAATTAGGTAAAGATAGATAAGAATAAGCAATATAAAAAATGTATATTGAAACATAAAATAGAAATGTGTTTGAACGCTTTATTTGACTATCACAACCTGAATAGATACTTTCTAAAACCTATGAAAAATGACATTACAGAAAATATGAGAGTAGAAATTTCACTGTTATATAGTAATGAAATCCCATTTTGTGGGTAGCATTCCACCGAAGCTGAAAGCCAGTAAAATATAAAAATCAAATTCTGAATTCTAATTAAAAACTGTCTTTTATTGTCTAACTCCATTATTAAAGATTCAGATTTGATATCACTTGCTAAAAAGGTACCCAAACTAATTTCAGTAAATTTGGTGAAGTTGAAAACAAAGCAAAAGTTTAGGCTTTAAAGTTTAGAGGCTAATGCACATTTTACACCCTTCCTGGTTTCTATATCTAATATAAGCAAAACTGAAGGCCAGTCCTTTAGTCCTTATTTGTGGCTGAGGTACACCATGGTCTGTGGGCACAAGCTGTGATTTATATTGTTACTATTACTTCCCATCTATAACTTCCTTAAACCACATTAAAAATGTGTAAGAAGGCTATAACATTCTATATAGGGTGGGCTTGTAAGAGCAATTCCATATGGCAAGAGAGCTTCACAAAGAACGAGAATCTGGTAGAAGACTGAAGAAATGATTTCCTCCACTCTATAACCAGGAAAGCAAATTATTTTCACCACTTTGAAAATTAAGCTGATTTCTAAATGAAATTTCAGTAAATAAAATGTGTGCCTCAGAACACCAAACCCTTTTTCCTAGTGATAATGACAATTGCTTAATTAATCTGTGGCACATCCAGCCTGTATTTTGTAATCTATTATGTGTCATTGGTCATTTAAGGGTTAATTTTATAATTCTGAGGTGTCAGCAACTGAACTCTTCTTACAGCAGCTCTCAGTATCTACAGTCAAGAACCAGAAAAAAGCTAAAAATTAAAAAATATACATAAGGCACTAAAAAGATTCCTTACCTAAGAGGGAATTATGCTTTCTCCTGTGAGTATAGGTCAAACTTTGTTTTAATACTAAAATAATACTTTCTAAGAGTTATCAAGAACAAAACATTTAAAATTCTACTCAGAATGCTAGCTATCACATCCACTTCACTATCATTCACAAATTTAGTACTCATGCTTTGTAGAATTTCCTAGAACCCAAATGAAAATACTAGCCCAAGATCAGCTGGTGAATTGTATCTCTTCTTGTTTTACATCTTGCCATTATGTTATTAATTATGAACTCCTAAATATAACCTTTCCACCAAATGATTGTCCTTTTAGCAATTCTACAGTCAACTGTACATTTCCCTCTTTTATTTTTATTTTTTTACTTTTGAGACTTACCTCAGCCTTTTGGGAAATATCATTCATGTTTGCTCTATGTGGTCTTGGGCTGATTATGAAGCTCTGTAAATATTTGCACCTGAAAAAATTATATTGTATAATAAATTTTAATTTATTTGTAATATATTATGTATTTTTATAAATAGAAATAGCAATTAATTGCCCCTCAAAAAATACTGACATAATCCAAGCAAGTAATAAATTGTGATAACCTTTAGCTCTTTTTCCCAAGATTCATGGTATAGAAAATATAAGGTGCATGATGGTAAAAGATCCCTGAAAGTTTTTGATCCAGAATAGCTTGATGAACATATTAAGTTCACTTGAAAAGAAAGTATATTCAGCAATTATTGAGTGTATTACTCTATAAATATTAACTAGCTGAAGGTAGCAGATCATGTTTTAGATCTGTATTTTTACTAATTTTTGGCTAGTTCTATCAATCTTCAACTATGTAGTTTTTTTTTTTTTTTTTTTGAGATGGAGTCTCACTCTGTTGCCCAGGCTGGAGTGCAGTGATGCACTCTCAGCTCACTGCAACATCTGCATGCCAGGTTCAAGCAATTCTCCTGCCTCAGCCTCCCAAGTAGCTGGGATTACAGGCCCACGTCACCATGCCTGGCTAAATTTTGTATTTTTAGTAGAGACAGGGTTTCACCATGTTGGCCAGGCTTGTCTTGAACTCCTGACCTCAAGTGATACACCCAACTCGGCCTCCCAAAGTGCTAGGATTACAGGCGTGAGCCACCATGCCCAGACAGAATTTTTTTTTTCTCACTTTAATTCTGTTGTTTTTGTTTCATGTAATTTCAGGTTTAATCACACATACATTATGATTATATTTTCTTTTTTAATTGACCCTTTCAGCAGTATATTTTTTGTTATGGAGACAGTCTCACTCTATCGCCCCAGGGTGAAGTGCAGTGGCACAATCTCAGCTCACTGCAATCTCCGCCTCCCAGGTTTAAGCGATTCTCCTGCCTCAGCCTCGTAAATAGTTGGGATTACAAGCAGCACATCCTCATGCCCAGCTAATTTTTTTTGTGTTTTTAGTAGAGACAGGGTTTCCCCATGTTGGCCAGGCTGGTCTTGAACTCCTGACCTCAAGTGATTCGCCTGCCTTGGCCTCCCAAAATGCTGGGATTACAGGTGTGAACCACTGTGCCCAGCCAACTAGTAAGAAATTTCTTTCTTCTTACCTCATTGTCTTAAACTTATATTAAAATAGTCACACCAACTTTATTTTCTTTTCTTTACTTTTTTTTTTTTGGTTGTGGGGGATGAAGTCTCGCTCTGTCGCCCAGGCTGGAGTCCAGTGGCATGATCTGGGCTCACTGCAACCATTCTCCCACCTCAGCCTCCCGAGTACTTAGGACTACAGGCGCACGCCGCCATGCCCGGCTAATTTTTTGTATTTTTAGTAGAGATGGGGTTTCACCGTGTTAGCCAGGATGGTCTTGATCTCCTGACCTCATGATCCGCCCGCCTCAGCCTCCCAAAGTTCTGGGATTACAAGCGTGAGCCACCATGCCTGGCCACCAACTTTCTTCTTATTTATTCATTTATTTTTTAGAGACAGCATCTCACTGTGTCACCCAGGCTGAAGTACCGTGGCACAATGACAGCTCACTGCACCCTTGAATTCCTGGGCTCAAGTGATCCTCCTTCCTCAGCCTCCCAAGTAGCTGGGACTACAGGCATGTACCACCATGCCCAGCTCTTTTTTTTTTCTCCTATAGAGATGGGGTCTCACTGTGTTGCTTAGACTGGTTTTGAAACCCTGGGCTCAAGCGACTCTCCCACCTTGGCCTCCAAAAGTGCTAGGATTGCATCCGTGAGCCACTGCACCTGGCCCCCAATTTTCTTAGGTTTACAGTTTGCATGGTATATAATTTTCTAGCTATTTACTTTGATTCTATCTATGTTTTTATATGTAAAGTATATGTCTTGGACTCAGCATATGATTGGACCTTGCTTTTTACAAAAATCAATTCTGATAAAATCTGGGTTTTCTTTTTCATTTTTTTTTTTTTTTTTTTGAGGCATAGTTTAGCTCTTGTTGCCCAGGCTGGAGTGCAGTTGCACGATCTCGGCTCACTGCAACCTCTGCTTTCCAGTTTCAAGCAATTCTCCTGCCTCAGCCTCCTGAGTAGCTGGGATTACAGGCTCCCGCCACCACACCCAGCTAATTTTTGTGTTTTTAGTAGAGATGGGGTTTACCATGTTGGCTAGGCTGGTCTCAAACTCCTGACCTTGTGATCCACCCACCTACGCCTCCCAAAGTGCTGGGATTACAAGCGTGAGCCACTGTGCCTGGCCTATAATCTGCTTTTTTAATTGCAGCATTTAGTTCATTAACATTTAATGTAATTATTAACATAAATGAGTTTAGGCCTATCATTTAAATGTTTATTTTAGGTTTGTTTTATCTTGTTTTGTTTTTTTCTTTTGGAATTTTCTAGCCAACTTTTTTTTTTAAATAGAGTTTATTTTAGGTTCACAGCAAAATTGAGTAGAAGATAGAGATTTCCTGTATATTTTCTGTCCCTGCACATGCTTAGTCACCCCCATTATCAACACTGGATAACCCCATTATTACCACCCATTGGAGTGGTACATTTGTTATAAATTATGAACCTATACTGACACATCATTATCACCCAGAGTCCATAGTTTACATTAGAGTTTACTTTTAATGTACATTCTGTGGGTTTTGAGCAACTGTACAATGACATGTGTCCATCATTATAGTATTGTACAGAGCAGTTTCCCTGACCTAAAAGTCCTCTTTACTCCACTTGCTTATGCTTTTCTCCCCCATCATTCCTGGTAACCATGATCTTTTTACTGTCTCCATAGTTTTGCCTTTTCCAGAATGTCATACAGTTGGAACCACACAGTATGTAACCTTTTCATATTGACTTTTTTCACATAGTTATGTGCATTTCAGTTTCCTCTGTTTTTCAGGGCTTGATAGCTCATTTCTTGTTAGCACTGAATAATACTCTATTACCTGCATGTACCACAGTTTATCCATTCACCTACCAAATGACATCTTGGTTGTTTCCAAGTTTTGGTGTTTATGAATAAAGTTGACATAAATATCTGTATGCAGGTTCTTGTGGACCATGATTACTGGAGTATATGGTAAGAGCATGTTTAGTATTACAAGAAACCATCATGTAGCTTACCATTTTGCATTCCCACCAGCAATGAATGAGAGTTCATATTGTTCCACATCCTCACCAGCATTTGATGTTGTCAGTGTTCCGAATTTGTTTGGCCATTCTAATAGATGTGGAGTGGTATTTCATTGTCATTTTTATTTTTATTTTATTTTATTTTTTTTTTTTTGAGACAGAGTCTCGCTTTGTCGCCCAGGCTGGAGTGCAGTGGCCGGATCTCAGCTCACTGCAAGCTCCGCCTCCCGGGTTCACGCCATTCTCCTGCCTCAGCCTCCCGAGTAGCTGGGAATACAGGCGCCCGCCACCTTGCCCGGCTAGTTTTTTTTTGTATTTTTTAGTAGAGACGGGGTTTCACCGTGTTAGCCAGGATGGTCTCGATCTCCTGACCTCGTGATCCGCCCGTCTCGGCCTCCCAAAGTGCTGGGATTACAGGCTTGAGCCACCGCGCCCGGCCTGTCATTTTTATTTACATTTCCTTGAATATATATTAAATGAATAAATATTAAATTAGAATTATATTAAATAATGTATTGAAGCACCTTTTCATATGCTTATTTGCCATCTGTATATCTTCTTCAGTGAGATGACTCCTAAGATCTTTGGTCCATTTTTTTAATTATTATTTTTTTTGAGATGGAATCTTGTGCTGTTGCCCAGGCTAGAGTGCAGTGATATGATCTTGGCTCACTGCAACCTCCACCTCCCGGGTTCAAGCAATTCTCCTGTCTCAGCCTCCCTAATAGCTGGGACTACAGGCGCCTGCCACCATGCCCGGCTAATTTTTGTATTTTTAGTAGAGATGGGGTTTCACTATATTGGTCAGGCTGGTCTCAAACTCCTGACCTCACGTGATCCGCCCACCTCGGCCTCCCAAAGTGCTGGGATTACAGGCATGAGCCACTGTGCCCAGCCCTTTGGTCCATTTTTTAATTGGGTGGTTTATATTATTATTACAGAGTTGTAAGAGTTCTTTGTATATTTTGGATAACAGTCCTTTATCTGATTATGTCTCTTGCAAATATTTTCTCCAAGTCTATGGCTTATCTTTTAATTCTTTTCATAGTGTCTTTTGCAGAACAGAATTTTTAATTTTAATGAAGTCCAGCTTATCAATTCTTTCTTTCACGAATTGTGACTTTGGTATCATAGCTAAAAAATCAATTCCAAATGTGAGGTCATCTAGATTTCTGCCTATGTTTTCTTCTAGGACTTTGATAGTTCTATGCTGTAAGTCTGTGATTCATTTTGAGTTAATTTTTGTGAAGAATGTAAGGTCTGTTTCTAGATTCGGTTTTTTGCAAGTAGATGTCCAGTTGTTCCAGAACCATTTGTTGAAAATAATCTTCACTTTATTGCCTTTGCTCCTTTGTCAAAGATCAGTTGATTATACTTATATGGGTTTATTTCTAGGCTCTCTATTCGGTTCCATTGATCTTTTTCTTTATTATTTCACCAACACTGCACTATATCAATTACTGTAGGTTTATAGGATGTCTTAAAGTTGAGTAGTGTTACTCCTCCAGCTTTGTTCTTCTCCTTCAACACTGTGTTGGCTATTCCAAGTTTTTTCCCTTTCATATAAACTTTAGAATCCGTTTGTCAATATCCACAAAATAATGTGCTGGGATTTTGATTGGGATTGCATTGAATCTGTAGATGGATCTAGGGAGAATTAATATCTTAATAATGTTAAGTCTTCTGATCCATGAACACAGTATGTCCCTCCCATTATATACATATTCTATAATTTCTCAGAAATGTTTTGTAGTTTTCAACGTGCAGATCTTCCACATCTTTTGTCAGTTATCCCTAAATAATTTCATATTTGTTTATATGTTTGTAAATGGTGTAAATGGTGTTTTTTAACATTTAAATTAATGATTGTTGGTAGTACATGTTGAGTATCCCTTATCTG